TATATATATATATATATATATATATATATATATATATATATCTTTAGACTCCAAATGAAGAATTGATGTTTGCCCTTTACAAAAAACCATAAAGAAATAATTATTCTTTTTTTGTACCATTGAAGAGATGAACTGAGGAGATAATAATTATTGCATAATATATGTACTTGAATACATTTCAAAAATGGATGAGATATGGATTTCCTGACTGCAGTTGTACCTTACAGCCATTTTTACGTCTACACATGTTCTTTAAATGTACAGAATGTATTGGCCATGAATGTCCTATTCAGGTCCTTGGATTAGAGCAGAGGGTGTTTTTGTGAATTGAGTTGTGTTTGCTGTGGAATACTGCATTACAATTTAATCCTTTTGCTAATATGTTGTCTGCTGTGTGTGCCCATATTTCTGGTGCAAAAGTCCGAGCTCTGCTAATAAGTAAAGTACTGTTACTTTACTGTAATTTTTATGCTAATTGCCAGTGACTTATAATTGCTATGAATTCAAACACTGCAAAGTTTCTGCATTCTAACAGTCTGCAAAGTTTTTGAAACCTAACCAACACACCTATCCACCAATGTTAACTAACACAATATCAACAGAATTTTGGAGCTGTAGCATCTTGAAGTTATCTTGAAGTTTAAAGCATTCAAAGCCAACCGTGCTGCCTACTGTTCACCAGAAGTGAATAAACTACATGTATGACACTACACACATAGCAGCCATCCCTTGCCACTCATGGTACATTATTGTCTAACGTGCTACACAATGCCCTATCTACACCGTACTTAGACAAACCAAGTTTTTATTATCTTTTTAACCTCGGACAAACACACACAAAAATCTTCCTAGAATAGGACATTCAATGCATATGCAGTTATGATTAGAACAGAAAATATTTCAGATTCCTATATTATGTGTTATATGCATTAAAGGTCCCTTTCAGTAGATTGTAGATACTCAGATTGTAGTCTGAGTAGTGAGCACAGCTGCAGGAATTACAGAAAGGAACAACAGATTCTGAAGTAACAAGCTTAGATCACAGATATACACTCTTGCAATGGCTTTTAGTTTTTATCAGCAATATCAGAACAAAAAGCCACAGCCAGACATTGTGGTGTCATATTCACATGTATCATACCCAGGTAACCCAACTAGATAGACCTGTGTAGACAATAGATGATAAGCCATTGTAGCCTGCATTACACAAGTTCAGGTACAGTTATTAGTTTTCCACTGCACTAATATGTAATGCTATGTATAAGAGTGTATGCATTTGAAATAGTTTTGCTTTGCTGTAGAATTTACTTATTCTATTGTCTATTCTGCAGACTGAAGTTTCTTTTAATTTGTAGCCTTTTTGAGTAATACATGCAGATGCCACATTCAAAGCACTGGACCATTCCAATCCAGACGTATACATGTATAAATACAACTCATTCTACCTCCATGGGGAGCACGGTCTGACTGGTGTCATTTTGGTCTTTCTTTAATGCTTTACTTACAATTTATAATTAGTTTAGCACTGCAGCCCGTGTTGGTACACCCTGGATAATATTCACATAGGGAGCTTTGAAACCAGCATCACAGCAGATTCTATTAAGGCATAGGAAAAAAAAGAAAATTAGGTACTGATTTTGATTTGCGTTGTTTTTAAGCTAACCTAATAGCGGTTCAGGAAGGTCCTGCATTACGTGTTAGTGTGGGGGATATGGTATCGGACATGTGCTGTTGCAGTACTTGGGAACATCAAAGACGCTAGCGGGGATGGGGTTGAGCTGGTAGGAGCTGGTGTTGAAGGTGATGACGTGGGTGATGTGAGGGACAAACTGCAGCTTCTCCCAGTACTGGCAAGGCTTGCCGTCTTCGGTCTGGTACCACCTACAAAAGGAAACAAGAAATTGGACTGTTTTATTTCTTGTGGATTTTTCGTTCATTCTGTAAATATTCCACTGTCGCGCACACGCATGTATGTATAGCATGCATATCTGGTGAGTGAGAACAGTCGGAATACAGTGTTACTATTCATTTTACTGCACTATGTATATATGAACGCACATTACACTCTGCAACACTTCATGGCATGATCGTCAGTCATCCTAGCCTGAATGTCAGATTGTTTTCAGGGCCAGCTCAGGGTCTACCTCTATGCTAAAATTTCTCTGGAACCTGTTGTCCCTTGACCCAAGGCCCTGGCGACATCCTGGCACCCTTGCTAACAGTCATTTCTGACCTAATATTATCATGATGATAGCATTGAAGTTAGAACGAATATCAAAGGAAAATCTAAAATGAAATCCCATGTCTCTAAATGGACATCAGGGGAACTTCTAAAAATGAAATCCCGAGACCAGGCTCCCGACATACAATTGTGAATCCGTAAATTTACGTTCGATTGGTCGTTACGTAAGACGCGAGTCCATAGGTCAGTCCTCACATCTCGTTCATCTGGATAGATAAGGACGTTTGGACGGGCGACCTTTGTGACAGTCAAACAAATGGCAACAACCCTACTCTTCGTTAATAATTATCTTCTTTTATTATTATTAGCCCTAGGTATCTACATGCCAATTAAGAATCTTCTCCGTAAAGTTCAATGACGCCTTACTCTAACCCTAAGTCAACCCTACCCCTTGAAGAAGAAATAGAACTGCAAAGTGTGAGGACTAACACTACATGACGAACCTGTCTGTTGCCACCGCCCCTTGTTTCTCCCAGCCGTGACACGTCGTTCCGTTGATATTCTCTTCCCCGAGGTAAGTCGCCCCGGCCAGCCACGTTGGCTTGATGACGCTGCAGTATTGAGCTGGCCCGCAGGCCCGACAACACTGTTGCTCGCGCGGGTAGTGCACGTACAAGCCGAGCGTGCTGAAGAAGAGCTGGCAATCCCCGTGCTCGTCTTTCAGCGTCAGGCCCCGTCCGGTGCAGAAGCTGTCGGCCTGGCCCTGCGAGTAGTCGAACCTCGCCCGGCTGTTGGCGAAGTCGTAGTGCCAGGCCCCCACGTTTTGGTTGACGGGCACGACGGAAATATGCCGCTCCTCTTGGAAAGTAACCGAGAAGGTTTGAGGCCACAATGGCGGCTGCGCAGGAGGTCCTGAAAGACTCGCGGTTTGCGACACCACCGCCAGGAGGCACATAAGGGCGATGTTGGCCATTCTGAGGGCAGGTGTTTTTCTGGGGGACTTCAGAAAAATGATTAGCCTCAATCAGTAGTCAGCAAACATGATGTGACGTGTCACAGTTCAGCTGGTTAGCCTACAGATCTGCAGACCAGGCTCTGTACGCAGGTCACTTTTTGGGAGCTTTTAATTAATCATGTCCTTGGTACTATTTTATGTGTTGCAGCAATGGATTGTTATACATGTACAAAGGTCCAGATACAAACAACACAACGCTCTTGTGAGAAAGAATATCAGTAGTTCATGCTTCAAATATGAAAACAATCCCACAGAGGTATAAACACGTATAACTCCAGTCACAAAGTCATCTCTTTTGCCACATAAAAACCATATTCTAGCTTTCATATCAGATTTATCTTCACTTGCCCTCAGTGTTCTTCTTGGTAACAAACTCATACAAAAATATTTATACCAGTCATGAACATGCTGTATAAAATATTTGCTTTCAAATCCAGCAACAAAATCACATTTGAATGATAGAACCTGCTTGATCAGAAACAACAGCAGCAATTTACCTTTCATTTTCTACACAAAAGTACAAAAAGAAAAACATGTTGATGGGTGGCACTGGGAGAGACATCAGCCACTTCTGTCTTCATGGTATCCACACGTGGGACAAGCAGCTGGGGATCTGCCATCAAACTTCCACATATCAAGCACAAGCAGGTCTAACCCATACAGCAGACAATAAACCAGAGAGCAAGTGCACCAATTTGAGTCATTTGTTGGTGTTACCAGTGTCCATGGCTATACTTCACTGTATCTCCACTTTTATAATTTTCCACAATCACTGTTACATGCAAAGTTTACAGTTACATACAAATGTCAAATTTTCCTGTTAAAGTTGGGGCTTTTTACGGCTGGACTTCTTTTTTGTTGCTGTCTGTTCTGGTGGTGTTTGTGTTGGTTGTGGCGCTGTGTGTTCCTGCCTGTTGTCTGGGATCTCTGGTCCGTAAGCTTCCGTCCGTCTGATCATTTGATTATAGGCTGCAAACAGAAGAACAAAAAGTATGCAATTTTGTCTTGCAAAAATCAAATCAAGAATGTCTCTTTATTAAAAATTCCGACATACAATGCATTGAACATGGTGTTAACTTAATGGGATTTAGTTACTTGTGGTCATCATTCACCAAAAGGAATGACCACCCAAAAGGCAGTCCCAAGAGGTCCAGTGGTTTGAGTGTGATGGAGATCTGTGTCTGTATAACCGCCCTTCAGTGTAACCTACCAGCTAAGAGATGCCCTACTGCACATTCAAATGTTCTTGAAGACTGAAGTCATTACTGACATACCATAAGGGAAGTACTTGACGTTGAGCTGTAGCTGCTGTGCTGATGCCATTACTCCCACTGCCTGCAAGGTGAAAGGTACATGAAGCAGTCAGGCATCCCTTCCCCATACCAACAAAGGAAGAATCAAGAAAACTAACCTCTAGTGTATATACAGTAATGGTTAAATGTAGCTTTTAAGGCATTGAAAGAAAAAAAGCAAGGAATGATGACTTACTGCTTTGTGGTCCATCTCTTCAAAGTCAAATCCATTTGCAGACAGGATCTGTAAATTGTGATATATAAAAATATATGAACAAATGAATACAACATGTATGACTAGTACTGTCAAAATGTTTGTACAACAATTACAAAATCTTTTGTGTACAATCCATTGGCCATTGGTCTCTCCCCCTCATATTCTAAGCAAATCAGCTACCAGTAACTTACATGTACTTGATCTTGTTCAGATGTTGAAACAATTTACATTCTATGAAAAACACTATTATTTAATATACTAGTAATATTTCTTTAAATACAACTGACATTATCTGAAGTACATGTAGCTTATCTGACCTGGTCTCCCTCCTTCAGTCCTTGACTCTCAGCATCAGTTCCAGAATCGACCTGCAGTACAGAACACAGTATTGTGTTCAAAATAGAATATTGTATGCTCCAATGGTGAAAATGGTGCAAAATCATAATGGATCGAAAAAAAATTAGTTTTCTTCCATTATGTCAACACATGGTTGTATCTATAGCTAACCTGTGAGATGAAGATGCCAGTCCCAAAGTCTTTCCCTCCTCGAGCAACAAAGCCCAGCTTAAAACAACAACAACAAAAAAAAGCATTAAATGTAGTGTCTTACATAAATAAAACAAAACAATGAATGCTGACATGCAACTAATCTTATGCTATATTTATACATGGGGTGAAGTGTACAAAAATGTCAGAATCAAGTTTGTTGTGCCTTTATGACACTTAAGAAGATGGTACCTGAAATGGTGATAGGTTGTATTTTTTCAAGCTTCATTGTGACTTACAGTACAAGAATTCTGTACATAATTCCAATGAAAGTTGTTAATCCCCTTGTTTTAGCCCACCTGTTGAGTGTCTGGGTCTCTCCTGATCTTGAGTGACCGTGGCAGGGCAGGAGTTAGGTCACTGCTGTAGTCAGGGTGGCTGGCTTGCTGGAAATAATGTCAGGTTGTGAGGTTATAAAAACCAACAAGGATGGAGACAATCTACCATTATCATGTATCAGGGCAGTAATACTCGGGCCATGGCAAGAGTCATATTAAGTAAAACTGGACACTCCCTCAAGACAAGATTTTTGCAGTACAGATGATCCAGCTCGGTTTTGTCAGAGGCCTAGGTGTCACAGCATATACACATTGACTCACTGGAACAATTAGAAATACCGGACACTGAACTACATGCTGAATATACACAGTCAGGCTGACTTTTGTCCGATTGGGGAAAGACAGATTAGGCAAAGTTTTTGTCTGTCATGACAGGCAAAATTAGTCATGACAGACGGATTAAAGATGGATGCTGGCTAGAACACTGACCTCTTCTGGTGGTATCCATGGTGGGGGGTGTTCATACTGTGGCAGCATCACTCTGATCTTTCTCTCTGCCATCATCATCATCAACACCAGCAAGACCGACTCAGCTTTGCACTCTCAGGGAGACTCAGCTAGGGTCATAAAGCATAACAGATGGCATTATAAAAAAGCAGCCAGGGGTCCAAAAATCTAATAATTTCGAGGTCACACCAAGACCTACACACCTTCCAATTTTTCATGACAATCCATCCACAGCTTATTGAGTTATCATGCTAAACCACATAGTTTACATACATACATACAAGCATATGTACATAATGTACATATTTAGTACATAAATACAAACATACATACACACATACATACAAATGCTACAGAAAATATAACCTTCTGGCAAAGGTGATAATACTGCATACTACTGTACCTTGCATGCATGTATTATATATTATGCAAATCCCACAATCTTGCATTCTTTTTCATAGTTGCAACATAGAGAGGGCTGCAACACAGACCTCAGACAGCTGTACTTCTGAGTCCCTCCATTAAAAGAAAGTTACTTTCTAGTGATTGTCCTGACAGCCACAATGCACAGGTGGTCCTAGGTAAATATTTGACTGGTGACTCGGGGTAAATATTGAGGTAACTGGCCTTTATGAAATGTTGAATGGAAATCTGACAATGTGCAACTGTGAACAATGACATGGCTGAAATGTAAGATGATTTCTAGTGTATCCAGAAATGTAACAAACCCTGACAAAATGCTACAATTTACCTGCTGTATCAGAGAGCAAACACATGTAGAAGAAAATGTCTTAAACACTGCCTGGTCTGCTGACAAGTTATGGGAGACTGTTAAATGACAAATATGTTGTTCACACCTGTAAGCTTGTTCACATAGCATGCCATGCAGGTGAGGTATGCACCCTTAAGGTAGTAATCGTGATGTCCAACTACATACATGTACACCTGACATCAGCACTTTGTAAGGAGAATCTTACAATTGAACTTTGTATCAGTCATTGTCAGTCAGCTGGATTGAATTCATCCTAAAGCACATATTGTTTGAACAAATTTTCTTTTGTAAAACCAGTTCGTAACTGTTAGTAAACGCTCTACAAGTAGCACCGTACTAATTTTAGAAACCCCCACAATGAGCAAACATTGTTGTCATTTCAGAACTGTTCAGACTACTAGTACAAACATCACAAGCTCTACCTGTAAAACATGCCAAAAGTTATGTTTCACTCATTCTTTTACAAGAAGAAACTTCAAGGAAAATATTGAGTCACACAAGTTAAATGGTAGTTTGCAGGAGTTACGGTAAATTCTTACCTGCCGGGAAACAAGCACAAAGTGCACAGCAATCTCAGATGGAACATTCCACACATATCCTGCACCAATCAATAGCACTTAGAGAAAAGGGGGACTTACTTGTGTGAAGGTCAAGTGAGGAATGCAAGGTGCCCGGTATCACTCACTATAGAAACCTGAAGAGGCAAACACAAGCATTGTTGAATTGTCAAACTATTTCCAAAGCAAATTGACAGCCAAATGGAGAATGGTCACCACCTGAATGTTCTGCTTGTTCCCTCTGGATAGGAACTGAGGTAGACTGTAGTTCAGCAGCAAGGGGGGAGGAAGGTGTGATTTAGTAAAGGTCACAGAGTACAGTATAATGTGAAGTGGTAACAGAATCTCTTCTAAAGCGTTCTCTCTGCTAAAAGTGGTTTCATGTTTTCCTCCTCTATTTTGCCCACTCACCTGTTCTGGCTCATATTACACGTCCTGTTGGGGTCCTAAATATTTTAGCAGGGGCAAATAAAAACTGAGGGAAATAATTGACCAGAGGACCCGGGATGGTATGAAAACAATGCAATAACAAATACCACTGGTACTATGGCAACTTACTGGGTATTGACATACCCTGTATGGGTGACTGCATATGGATACATAACGTCCCTACCACTGACCTTTGTGGGTCTTAACAATGACCTAAAACAAACAGAAAGGAGAGTGCCGAAAAAGTACCTTGCATCAGTCATTTTTACCAACTTCTATATGGTTTTAAAAGTAGAATTTGGCAGTCCCTTGCATGAGTATCATATTATATTCTGAACCTCTCTTTCTAGGCAGTTGATCAAGCATAAAAAGTGAACCAAATTCTTTCTATACAGTTTGAGGTACATTGTAGGACCATTAGAATATTCATCGACTCAAACCAAAACTGGGTAAGAAAACTTTGACATCAGAAAATATGACAAATTCAACAAAAACAGATAAGCCAAATTCCCTGAATAATACAACATATAGTTTAATCAATATCCATTGGTTTGTATGTATGTAGATCAGAGACATGCAGATATTGGACATCTAAATTTGCTGTATAAAATTTGAACTCTTACATTTAGCTAATGATGTAAATTGTGCTGTGAACATTCTCCTCCACCATACATACTCATACAGCATTGCAACTTTAACTTCACCACCAGCAATTGAAACTACACAATTATCTATTACAGCTATACATAAAAATGAATGAGTACTGGGATATGTATGAAATGTGTTAGGGAATAACAGCGACTTACATGTACAATATGCCAGCTCTATAATTTGAATTGATGAGAAATAACTGTGGCAGTGACGATTTCAGACCCAGCACTTAAACAGATTCTAGTGCTACTAAACACTACATTACTGGCATATTTGTGGTTACTGACTTGAGAAATCTGTGATACGTTGAACATGATGAAATTAAACAAGTATATAGACATGTATAATGAATCAGGAAACATGGCACAAGGTTGCTTTACATCACTTGGAACCTACACTAGTTACAAGCTGTGGATTGTACTTGCCACAATTACATTTCCACTGACTTACACATTACTTTACAATGTACATGAGACACAATCATTTGCTGTTAAAAGTTTAAGTTTATGCGAGAAAGCCCTGCGTGTTACACTATCATATACTATAGGAAGTTGCTCAGCCAACAGGAACATTTGTACATGCAAGCTTCAAGGCGTGACAAGCCAAGACTTGTTGTGTTTGTTTCACGCCATCATAACATTGCAAAAACACATTCTACAATTTTCATATCTAAACTTGTTATTTTTGGAAACACCTTGTTACTACAATTGTTACAAGACACATACGATGAAATTTAGTTCCTTTGACTCAACACTTGTTCTTAGAGCACCCGTGTACTATATGTAACCCACAATAAATTAATTTACAAATTACAAAAGTTTTGCAGCATCTAGTTCCATACATACCAATAAGTGCACATTAGCATGAAGGCCAACAGTAACATTAAATTCAATGATTTAGATAAAGTTGAGGCAAGTTACATTACAAGCATTAGATTCTGCACAATTGAAGTAGTTGGGAAATCAAGAACTGTTCTCAGTATTGAGACTTGAAACATGGCTGAGTAAGACATTAACACTATAACTTCTCTGCTCCCTGCAGCTAACGTTACATGTTTGAAAAAAAAGTACACCTAGCTGTAACAGCCACTGCCGTGTGAGTTACACAATAAAGAATGCCTTAGAATTTGAGATTGAATCACACATCATCACTTATTTTCATACTTCAGTAAAACTTGGATAATGCACTTTTACAGACTTTCACACTTCGTTTCCAATGAGCAGCTGAAAGTATGTGCACGACATATAAAAGCTACTTAACAGCTGAAAGTATGTGCACGACATATAAAAGCTACTTAATGATACAACTTTTGGAAGCATCTATATTGTAGTTTTCCAAACTTATGCTGAGTATAAATTCCTGGAACCAGGCACAGACAATCAAGTATCAAATTGTTTGAATGCTCTGTGTGGGAGGATGACCAATAAACAGTTTTGAAATGACCAACAGATTTGATTCTGAAGTGAATATTATAAGATGAATACAACATAGCTAACAGACTTCACTTGTTGAAAGATACTAATTATATTTATCATTTCAAAGTAAGGCTGGAAGATCAAAACATAATGCATTGAATTGTCACTTGGAAATGTCTTGCATGTTCAGTACCTTTTTACAAAGTTTAACATGTCAAGTATTTTGGAGCTTCAGAAAAACATGTCTGGTATCATTTTAATACTGAATTTGTATGGAAGCTATCCAAGCCATTACTACCAGACATAAGAATCAATGATTTGGAAGTAAAAAAAATCACTGGACAAGTCTTTTCAAAGTTTAAACAGCCCTTTGAAATTTTTGGATCATGGAACAAACACAGAACATATAAAAGACTTAGTGCAAATGACAAGAACAATTTATGCATGGTGGAATGAAGGCATCCTTGCTCTGAAGGATCCTGACATAAAATGGGAAAAAATATAATTTTAAGGAATGAATTTAAGGCCACTTGCAGTAAAATATGGTGTCTGCTGGGTTAGTATGACAAAGCTGGCATTGAATACAAAAAGATTATAGCAACATATTGACATGGAACTACGAAGTACAAGGTAAATTTGATCATATGGATAGCCTCCAGACTAGCCGTCAGCTGCCAACTGTACCTCCCCATGACACCCCAGATGGTAGAAGTGGATGGATAAAGTAAGTAAAGTAAAGGATAGTGGGGAAGTCTACAAACTTTCCTTCACTATAAACGAACATTTGATTTTTTTTCCTTGCTGTACAAAAATCTAGATTTTTTGATCCAGTAATTAATGTACAGTTCGACATGGCAATGTCACAACTGGTTTGTACTTCTTGTACACTGGTTAGTATTTTTAACCTTCTCCCTGATAAGCATACTGCACTCCAAATACCCACCTGCAAGAATTTGCAAATATTTGTGGGCACAGAAAAAAAATACACCACTTGGAATTTGACAAGCTTCAAAAGAGTACATGCTTGGCATAATGAATCACATATTGTATATTTTTTGTAATTCCAGCTGGGACATACTTCATTCATCCAATTTCTTTCGGTTACAACATTGTCACTTAGCAGAGAGAAGGTTAAAGGATGACAGCAATGACTGTTTTTCACAACCTTGAGCTGAACAGCTATGTTGTTTGAATTTTGCCTCACTTTTTCTCTATCATGTTCAGGATGTAAAGGAAGCCTGAGCTGTCAATAGTGACAAATGTTTTAAAGTCTTTGGATGCCTGTAGAGATTTCACGAAGCTGCCCTTGATGTGGAATGTCTGCAGCAGTTTCCCATCTACAGTCCACCATTTTACATTGTTGGCTGCAGAAACTAGCTGTTTCCCATCGCTGGAGAACTGCAGGCCTCGAACCCATACCCCACCGCCTGGGTGGTGATCACAAGTGACAATTTCTTCCCCCTTCTCTACATCCCAAACCTTCACATAACCAGCATCATCACCAGTTGCTAGGATAGAACTGTCCAGGGTGAAGGCACAGCTACGGATGCAGTCCACGTGTCCAGTGAACTTGTGCAACAGCGTCTCCGTCCTTCGACGTACCCAGTATACGGACAACACGATCAACCGATGTGGATGCTATCTTTGACTCGTCAGGCGACAGGTCACATGATAGCACCCACTGTTCGTTTTCGTCCTCACAAGAGAACTCGTTCATGCCCCACATGATGTCCCAAACCTTGATGCTCCCGTCGTAGGACGCAGTCAGGAACTTCTTGCGCTTCAGGCTGAAGATTTTGAGGTGTCGGACTGACTCCCTGTGCCCGACACACTCGATAGACGTCTTGTTCTCTAGTTCCCAGATGAGGACCTTGCTGTCATCACCCCCCGTGATCAAGACTCGGCCGTCCTGGGAAAAGCTGCAGCACCTCACTGCTTCGTTATGACCGACCAGCTCACGTGACTTCACCCCCGTTGGTGTGGAATGGAGAAGCTTGATGACTCCGTCCTCACAGCCGTACGCCACCTTGTTGCCACTGGGGCAAATGCAACATGCCCTGATCCGTGACTTTGCGAAGGAAACGTCAGTCTGATGCACGACTTCTGCTTGGTTCCCCTTCATCACACGGAGCGTGTCGTTGTTGTCTGGGGCAACAACCATGAACGGATCCATGTCAAAGTTCACGTCAAAGTCGCGTTTCAAGCCCATGTAGTCGATTCTTTTCGCACCCTCCACATCCCAGAGGATGACTTTTCGTCTTCTGATGATGACAGGAGTTGCTTTCCATTGGCAGAGAAGGCAACGCAGTATACCCACATGGTATGACCGTAGTGCATCGCCACACAGTCCATGCTCTCTGTATCCCACAGCTGTATGGAGAAGTTAGACAGTCCACCCGCTATGAGGCTACCATCTGGGGAGAAACAGCAGTGCTGTATGAAGGTTGACTTGTGGGCTTTACAGACTCCTAACCTTTCTCCTGTCATTGCCTCCCACACATGAATCTGATAATCAGCACTTGAGGCCACCACGTGACTTTCAGGCTTAAAGCAGCATGCCGACAAGGCTGATCTATTGTGTCCACTGTAAGTTGTTATCTGTTTGCCTGATTTCGTGTTCCACACTACAGCTGTGCCATCGGTGGAGGCAGACACAACAAGGCTTCCATCTGAGGAGATGTCGCAGCATCTGACTGAGTCGGTGTGAGCTGTAAATGTGTGGACTTCCACCCCACTGATGCTGTCAAGTATCTTCACCAACCCCTCCCCTGAGCAGCATACCAGCTTGGTGCCGTCTGGCGAATACTTGACAGAAAACACGGGGAACATAGAAGAGGGGCTCGGGTCTCGCGATCGTGGCATCAAGGGTGGATCAGTGAGCGTGCGCCTGGTTGAACCAAAGGAGGGCGTGCGAGTTGGCGTTCCACAGGGTGTGACACGTTTGAAGGCGTGAAACGTGTGCATTAGCTTGCCAGTAGCAGCATTCCACACATGGATTAACCTGTCCCCAGCACAGGACACTATGGTGGCACCGTCTGGGGAAAATCCACAGCAGTACACCACGTCTCGGTGGCCCTCTAGGGTTAGCTGCACCTGCCCCGTGTGTGCGTCCCATACTTTGATACTGCAGTCCTCTCCACAGGAGGCCACCTGGTTACCATCAGGAGAGAACTTGGCAAAGTGCACACCGCCACTGTGGACCTTTACAGTCAGCTGGGTGGGGTCTTTCACTGTGTCCTTCCCACTCCACACAAAATAGTAGTTGTCATTCTGTGTGGCGCGTGAGAGGGCTTGCTGGTACACCTCAGACTCGCTGTACTGGTTCAACCCAAGTTGAACAATGTCGGGGAAGGGGTCTTCAAAGAACCGGTGCAAGTTTGTGCGAAGGAAGGTTTCAAAGTCTCGCAGTTGCTGTCCACGGTTTTGACAGAGTATCTTCCCGTGCTTGACGTACTGTTCAACAAGGAAGGATGGACCAGTGATTCTGACCTTTGACCCTACCCAATCCAGGCTGGATAGGATGCTGCAAAGGTCATTGACCCTGCCTGATGCTGCAAGGTGGTCCTCCATGTGCCAGTGGATGTACCCATCATCTTCCAAGGTGTGGAACTCTCCTTTGCAGACTTTCTCATACTTGCTGACTAGTGTCGCATGTAGCGACTGCATGTCTTCGCACTGCTCTTTCAGATAGTCCAACTGAAGGTCGTGCACAGAGTACACAAATGTTTTCTGCTTCTCATCCCAACTTTGAAAAGCTAGAGATTTCTTGCATAGTTCATCCATTGTGTCCTCTACAAGTTCCACCTCTTCTTCCCAAAGGATGCTGAGTACTTGGGTGGGCACCAAGGTGTCGTTGTCAAACACGGCAAACTGCTGGTACAGATCACGCATGTCTTTGTCAAGATGGTCGACACTGATGGCGATGGCTTCAGCGAGGGATTGGTACTCATACGGGAGCGTCTTTTTGAACTTGCTCATCTTCCTGTTTTGTAGATGCTTCAGGTAATACTGCCACCTGTTGGGGTGGTCTTTTAGCAGTGCACCTATCATACAGATTGCCAGGGGGTGACCCCCCACACTCTGTGTAGATCTGACTTGCCTCTGGCGGGAGGTCCGACACTTTGGTCTCCGTCCACGAGGCCAGGACCTCGTCTGACTGCTCCTTGCTGAAGCCTTCTCGGATGGGGACCATGCTGATGTTTCCCCTCACTGCATCTGTCACGCTCGAGTCTCTGGTGGTGAGCATCGTACGGCAACGGACGTCAAACATCTTGGCGTCCCTGGCTGTCCACACGTCATCTAGGATCAGTAGGGCCCTGGGATGCTGGTGAGTGAAAAGAAGCCGTAGCCTGTCTTTAGCCTCTTCTGCATTTCGAGGTGGAGTTTGGTGCTCTTTATCCAATAGCAAACATAAGTTTTGCATCTTCATGAGCAGCATTGGCTTATCTATCTGTCCTAGAGAAACCCAGAAGACGCCTCCTGGGAAGCATTCTTCCAACAGTTCTTGGTCTCTCACGACTTCTCCTGCTAGAACTGATTTCCCTGAACCACCCATGCCGTGTACGACCACCCACCCAGGCTCGTCTTTCAGCTGCTGAAGGGCATTACGAATCTGCTGGGACTGTGCTGGCCTTTTGATGAATATACGGGGCCTGGGTGGCACCCCTCCTTCAACCAGCACTGTCTCTACATCTATGGTGCTCATCTTACGTTTCCCCCCATTTTGAATCTTCTCAAGCCTATCGCTAGTGGGGAGATCTTTTGCTAAGAGTTCTGCCAGGTGTGTGTACTGATCTTGGAGGGACTTATAGAAAGAAACGAAGGCGAGATTCCCACGAGAAGGGAGGATGTCCAGGAGTTTTGCTGCACGCTTTTTTGACGTAGTTTCTGCAAGGATTTCTTCTTCATCATCCAAAGTGAGGACCTTTGCACTGAGAAGGGGGTTGATGACGTGTTGAACTTTCAGGTCCTTGATGATTGACACCCGATTCACCAATAGGCTGCTGCGTGCTCGCTCGTCCATGTTTGCAGGCGTCACAGGCACTGGCCAAAGATCATATCAGTGATGCAATCTGAAAATGGAGGAACAAAATATATTTATGATTTGTTGTCTATCTACATTGTATCTATGCAAATCAGTGTTCATCAAATTTCCAAGTTGATTGTATAATTTCCAGTGTATTACTGTGATTACAACCAATTTCAAAAATGGTATAAGAATTATTTTTACAAGCTTACAATATAAGCATGATAATAGCTGTTAAAGTTACCCTCTATGTACTGTGACCAGGTGACCCTAGTCTCTACCATACTAACGGTAAACCGTTGCTAGAAAAAAGAGTAGTGCAAATTGGCCAAACAGACCGAATATGCCAGACAAGTCAACCATATTTCAGTTTGAAACCCATAGTGGAGAGAGATTTGGGTGACCCATCCCTGAACTGAAAGAAATATGTCACAATAACTCTAGCTATCTTTAATGCTCCTTCTATTGTTAACAAAATCCTGACCAACCCTAAATTTTCCAACTGGAACAGCCCTGACCTAGATATCATACAATACAGAGTAGAGTACAATTATACCTCCTATTCACCAGAATGTTTGCAACCTTTTGATTCTCAGCTAATTGCAAAGTCATCCCTACACAACAAATGTAAGCTGCAAGAGGTTTCAAAAACTTGTCTGCCTGAAACTCTTCTGGTGTAAAATTCCTGGTAAATCATGTACATCCTGTGGGATTACTAAGAATGCGTGCCCCTACAAATGGCTGCTCTGCAAACAGTAAGCAGACGTAATGTTGTCATAAGGTCTAGCACTGCCCTTTCATACAAATCTTTTCAAGACAACAAGAGCCGCCTTGGAAACAATGAAGCAATTATGCCAATTTGTTTGATTACAATGTCCTGATGAACAGCATCTAATCATTTAATGCAGTTCATTAAGACCATTGAATCTTAATGGTTGTCAGAAACATTGTAAGGGACAGTTCATTCAGGATGAGTGTTTGAATGCTAAGATTCATTTTCAAAGGAAATTTGTCCAGACATGCTACAAACTGTAACTAATCAAAACTTCCAAACTACACTACATGATAAGTTACAATTACCCCTAAAACGAGATCAAATATTTTAGCTGATCGCTGAAATTTTTGTCCCTGAACTACAATTGCAGACAGGTGGGGCCTTGTCAAGGCCAGGTAGCCAACAAGTCGGCCTTTATGTCAGATATCATTAGCTTGTCATCATGTAACAGCAGGGGAAACTGTCTGTCCTGCATTTTAATCTAGTCTAACCGGTCCATTTAGATATTTGTGTATAGATTATAGATTAATCGATCATTTACATGTGACTGCACACAGCTGATTTTTACGACTTTGAACCAAACATATTTGTTTAAGCTATAATAGTAACGTTCACGACCAGTTTAGACAATAGTTTCGACCTTCAATAATAGAATAATAGATGATGCAATAGACACATAAGTTACATAACCCAAAAGTGATATAGTACCTATACCTGAATCTATAATTTGCCACTGGAGCAGACATAAAATTCGTCCGGACTTGTTCCACTTCCTGAAGACTTCTAACGTTATATTTACCGATACCAACGACTGGTCCTTCGCATGTGACATCATACGCAACTTATAGATGTGTTAAGTGAACACACATACCTGTTCAGTGACGTTTGGCGCTGTTCCGGGGGAATTCTAGAGCGGAAATTGTATCATGTTTACTCTTCCTTAGACTAGTCTTGATCAACAACTTGTAGGTCAGGGGTCGTACCGCATACGAACGAAAGTACCGCCTTGCTGTATAAAAATGACTCTAACTCATTTGAACAATAAATAACATTTGCATCTAATGTAACTGCAAGAAAATAATATTATATGTAGATTTCTGGTAATATAATCTAAAATCCTGCCGCATGAATTTAAAACGATGATTTTGTACACTTTTCTTGCGATCTTTGGGACCTTCCCCACAATGCCCTGCGCCATGCCTCTTCCTCTTTCACGAAACCTCCAAAATGGCGGTGGGCAAGAATAAACGTCTCACGAAAGGAGGCAAGAAGGGTGCCAAGAAGAAAATGTAAGCCAAAAGAAACATCTAGAACTATGAAATATATGTTGTACTTCAAGTAGAATGAGTTTCTCTTTCATGTGACTCTGGATGCGTTAGATGTTAGCTTGATAATAATGAGAGGTCTGCCCTGTGGTTTCGAGTTGGCACCTCTGCACCGTTCAGAAGATCTAACCTTTTCACGTGCTTTTCAGTGTCGACCCCTTCACAAAGAAGGACTGGTACGATGTCAAGGCACCAGCGATGTTCAACATCCGCCAGATTGGCAAGACTTTGGTCACCAAGACCACCGGAACAAGTAAGTCTGGCAGCAGCTATTGACTAGAGAGATCATGCTGTTCTAACCCACCGTGCCCCTCCTCATCTTGCTCAAGATATGTTTCTTAGTTTGCGGGTTTTGCTAAAAGTTGAGCAGTTACTTAAGGTGAAATTGAAAGAGTCAGCGATCTGCCTTTTGCAACTGATGGACATCAGTCACGTCATCGTAGTCATACTGGATCAGTACATATGTTTGTGTACAAGTTTTTTTGCATGGTGAATATATGAAGAGTCATGAGTAGATGTTAAATCTAAACATCACAATCTTTCACAGAAATACCGAAACTGCCATAACTTCACATAAGATCCAATTCTGTATAGTTCCTCACAGCAGTATGTAACTTTAACTCACTTAGTCAATATCCAGTTTAGCGTCTGTTGTTCCCCGTTAAACATGCTTGCACACCATTGCTGTAGCTCCACGTTATAAATGTTAAGGTGTTTGAAATTACGCATCTAATTTTCATTTCCCTTCATTCAGAGATCGCATCTGAGGGTCTGAAGAACCGTGTGTTTGAGGTTTCCCTGGCCGACCTTCAGAACGATGAGGTGGCTTTCCGCAAGTTCAAGCTGATTGTGGAGGAGGTCCAGGGCCGTAACTGCCTGACCAACTTCCACGGCATGAACCTTACCACGGACAAGCTTAGGTCAATGGTCAAGAAATGGCAGGTAGGCATTTAAATTTAAAGTCTTGCATATATTCACAATATTAAAAGTTTGAGTTTGAGATAACCATACAGAGAAAAACTTAAGTGTCCTAATTGGGTGATATGACTTGAAAATGACATGAATGATTATTGTAGCAGTAACTATCAGCAAGGACATTATACTGTGTATAATGTCCTTGCTATCAGATATTAGGCATTCACTTCAGTGCCACTTATCTACTTTTCACTCCAATTCAGACTCTCATTGAGGCCAACGTTGATGTGAGGACGACAGACGGCTACCTGCTGCGTCTCTTTTGCATTGGTTTCACCAAGAAGCGTCAGAACCAGATCAAGAAGACAGCTTATGCCCAGCACACCCAGGTTGGTATTTACACATTGTATCTTGAAGTCATCAAAAAGACACTTATGTTATCTGTTAGAGTTGTCAGGTCATTTATCTTTCCTTCAAATCACATACTCATTAGTCATGAAGACGATTTTGTAGCTACATAAGACTGACTCCTTATCTTTGTCTTCCTTAGATCCGTTCCATCCGTAAGAAGATGGTTGAGATCATGACACGGGAAGTCTCCAGCAACGACTTGAAGGAGGTGGTCAACAAGCTGTAAGTGTAGTGGTATTTTTACACATTGTGTACAATTGTTAAAAAAAGGCACTTGCACACTTCAGATTCATAGCAAAGAGTAGCCGAGTATGTAGTCTTAAGACATAAAAGACCAATTTAAGCCTTAAAATGGGATGTTTAGGTGATAAAGGATGCAGTAGACAAGATACAATTGGAAGTAAACTGTAATGTGTGTTCCAGAAGTGATTTTCGTTATTTTGCCTTGCAGTATACCAGACAGTGTAGGCAAGGACATCGAGAAGGCCTGCCAGGGAATCTACCCCCTTCATGACGTGTACATCCGCAAGGTCAAGGTCCTCAAGAAGCCCAAGTTTGATGGTGAGTCAAGTTCTTGGACAACTTGAAAAAAAAGTGCAAGAACCTCATTGACCCTATAGAGTCTGTTCTGTGTGCATATTGAGTTATGGTGGGTTGAGAAGCCAGGCAGTCAGAAAATGTTAACCTTCCATCCCAATATCTACTTGGATGTCATAAGAAATGAATGCCCGAATAAGATGACAAGGAATGTTTGCTACTAGCAATGCCTGTGTCTGAAATTATATATGCACATGAAGTTGTAATCAGAATCAATGGTGAAAATATTTGTTAAGTCAAAACTTGTTTTTGTTTTAGTGGTGTCATATGACAGTGACATATTTTCGATGTGGTTTTATTATCCAGTGTTGATAATGGTTTTCTGTCCACACAGTTGGCAAGCTGATGGAGCTCCATGGAGAGGGCTCAGGCTCCGTGGCCAAGCCTGTCGCCACCACAGAGACGGGAGAGAAGGTGGACAGACCGGAGGGATATGAACCACCAATCCAAGAGGCCGTCTAAACAGGATCTCAGCAAGTCCATAGATCCACAAAAGAGACAATAAAAAACATTACCTACTGAAATGCTGTGATTGTGTTTTTTACTTGTACTTGTGTTCTAAGTCATTGAGCAAGGAGTTACGTGGTACATTTGTACAAGAGAGGGGAATTGCTAGCATTGGTACCATTGGTCCCAATATCAGTTATTGATACAATATACATGTACCAGTGTTTTTTAGTAAGAATGCATTGCTGTCACATTCAAGGGATAAAAACATGGTTAACAGTAAGACAGTTTTCTCCAAAGGATCCTTGATCATGCAAAGATGTGTGGCTGTAAACAGAGGAGCAGGGCAGGAAAACGAGTGACCTGATTGAAATTCTATAGATTAAGGATGATGACCTATCTCATGCTGAGTTCAGCCTTCCTATATGTAAAAGTCAGCTGACTTTAAGAGAGCAGTACATGTTAATTGGGGTATGGAGTAACATGGTATCAGCCTTCAATATGAGATGGTGTGGGCATTTACTAAGCTAGTCAGAAAGTTACCTCGATAAAAGACATCCAGGTTATGCAGATACAATAGCTGCACTGGTTTGGATATTACCAATACCATATACATTTGTACATGTATATCCACTTTAAGTCATTTTCATGACAGGTACAGCATGTTAGCTTCAAACTTGGCATCTCAAGCAGATACCAGCCAGGTTACTGGTGGAGTACCCACATCAATTAATATCACCAGAAATATTCATTCAATTCCTTTATTCTTCCACATATTTGTGTGTACTCTGTATACTAAGTAGATGCATAAAAATGAGGCTCCCTCATTTCTTTGGGTAATTCACCTAAGCTAAGGTATATGTAGGAACAAGGACTTGGTAGGAACATGGAGGTAGAAACAAAACCGGCATATGGTATGCAAATTACTCTCCTCGCCCACATGTACAATGACGTCATCGCCTATGCCGACCATACCCGACAACTGCCGAGAATACCCGAACAACGCCCTCATTACTACCAAAGATGGCGGACGGACTCGGTGATTTCGAAGATCAGCCTGCCCAACAGCAGCAAGAAGAGGACCCCGCGGCCGCCTTCCTGGCTCGGGAGCAGGATGAGTTAGCAGGTTTAGAAGATGACGACGTGGCGGGCTTACAGGAGGAGACTCCAGCCGCCCAAGGTAAAGGGATCGCCCGGTCGGGTACACGTAGCAAGACCAAAGCCTCGTGGGGGAGGGGGGTGCCGGTGTTTGTACTGTGCTGAGGTCGGAAGCGTTTTGATCGAACACCGTTTTATTAGAGCTTTATAGATCGACGCGAGGAATACTTTGTCGTGAATGTATTTCGGGGTACACAATGGAGGCACACAAAAATCACCCGCGAATGGTAAACCTTGGAAACTTCCGGCATGCAAAATCATGTGACTGACGCGATGTGAAGCCAAGGTGGTAAAAATGAGGTACCACCAAGGTGGTTAAAAATCAAGCATGATCACCCTTCATATAACCCCAGATGTAGGAAAAATGTAGTGCTTTATGTCTGTGCTTGTGTCGATCATATTATCTAGACAGGAAAGCTATTTTCAATATGACCCATGATTTTGATCCAACATTTGACAGTTTCATGTAGCTGCATATGGGTTATATACTAGTAATGAATTTCCTGTACGTGCCCATGGGAAATGTGTTTGATGTCGTTTTTGCCACAGTTGTTGTATTGAACTGCATTAAAAGATGGTTCAGATAGACTATATACTTCTACAATTGTTATCCAACTTCAAGAAAAAAGTTAGTAAAGATGTAACATTATGTTAATGTTTCAATTGTCAATTTAATCCTCAGACCTGTAATAAAAAAGTGTATTGTTCATCAGTTTAAAGGTGCTGCTGTATAACCATCAAAATGCCCATGTTGCAGAGCGTTGTTAAGGGGGCACACCCCAGTTTATTTGGGACCTCTTTTCGAAGCTGCACACCCTCAAATCTAGCGACCGTCTCTGGCGTGGAATAATTCGGAAGGAGAATAACTGTATATGGGACGAAAGGGTATCTCTTCAGCTACAAGACAAGCTGAGTTTGGTTTCTTCAACCTTTTTAAGTTTGGTAAAATCAACGGAAAAAACATTATTTTCACTCCAAAATTAATGCCCAAAATTGCGAATTTTCGCGTAGGATAATCCCACAAAAAAAAATTTTCCGGCAGAAATGACTGATGCTGGCAGAAAGACCCAAGCCTTGACTATACCCGAGTAAATTATAAAGAAAATTCTAGTACTGTAATTTTCTAAACAGTCCACGGCGCGAGGGGTTGCAAATCCACCCCTACGAAGCCACAGAGCGAAAACTAGGTCAAACGGGCGGATTACACTTGGCGCGCAAGGATACCCGGAAGTAAGGTTCGGAGCCAAAAGAAATTTTCACCCCAAAATCACCATTTCTTACACTCTTCAGCCATGTTAATGTTTAATGATACTTCGTGGCAGTTTATAAGAAATGTCACCTCAAACTTGGACCCTCAAAACCCTTTCGTCACTTTTTTACAACGGACTATCACGGACCCCGGTCGCGGAAGAACTGGGGTGTGCACCGTTAACTGCAACTGAATCAGAATAATTTGCATAGCTAATGGATTAACATTGTGACATGACACCTGTTCGGTACTAACTATGGGTAGTAGAATATTCTATTTGATCATTAATATAATACGTTACATACAAAAAATGATACTTCTACTAGGCCTCTACAGGCACATGATTTGTAATTGTTAGGTGCTTAATCAATGAAAAAGCCATAATTGAAAATGCCTTGCTTTTAGAATTTTCTCAGTCCTTTTAGTTGGGTCTTTTGTTATTATAATTTCACCATTCTTAATCAATATTTCATGAAAGAAAGTACCAGTAATAGTAATGCATGAATATGAGCATGATGGAAAAAGTTTTAAAGAAAAGGATCTTTGCTTGAATTATTGTTTCCTAATGATATTTTTTTTATGTTAGCTTCTGTTGCAAGCAGCAATTGAGTTTCTTTTTCCTTGGTTCTTTTTGTTTTAGTTCCAAGTGCCATGGATGATAACCTGGACTTTCTATCAGGTGGTGGAGATGGGGGTGGGTTGGCTGACTTTGAGGGGGAACCAAGTCAGCAGCAAAATGAAGACATCTTCGGCGCTGACCAGGGACAGGTGAGGTGTCTCAGACAGGGACATTCAATTTTTAGAAAGTTTCTGATACATTCGACTGCTTACAGGAAGTTGAATGGCCTGGGAATATTTTTCACAGCCAGATGTAAATGTAGTCTCCACCAGATGCCTTTGTAGGCTGAATAAATACATGTAGTTGAAATCTGCCTAAAAAGGGGTATTACCAGTATTATTGGCCAAGGGAGTTAGCAGGCCAAATTGTCTTCCTGGTCTGGTGGAGACTTATGTAAATCCGACTAAATGTACCCAGTGAGTGTGCTTCTCAAAGAGTATATCTGTTGGTTTTTGCAGAATATGAAGGAATAAAAGTAGATATGTTTTCTCACATTTTGTTATCCACGCACTTTGGTTAACAGCCACAGAGCAACGGCCCTGTGCCCACCCCTGCACCCAGACGGGAGGAACCAGAGAAAATCCGCAAGTGGAGAGAAGAGCAGAAGGCCATGCTGGAGAAGAAAGGTACAGTCTTTTTATTTCTGATTATCACTCACTCAATCATTTCTGATTATACATTTATAGGTACGTAAAAAAGATTGTGAGGTGAGAAAGTTAAAGTGCAGACTAGGACTAGGCATATCTTACATAATAACTTAGTATTGCACAAGGAACACCCCTGTGTGGGAGTCCCCTCTGGGCTGTTTTCCAACCTATATCTTACATGTGCAATATTAGAATGTTTATTCACTGTATGTGGAATACTGGTATTGATGGCTAATCACTATTGATCTATTTTAATGCTTTCCTTGACTCAATATGGATGATGTTGATTTAAACACAAAGGAAGCTTTTGTAAAATCAATTTGAAGACCCTACTAAGTATACGTGTTACTGCTAAGGTTCACCTGCATGGCTGGTCTGTTAGTTTACCAATCTGTCACTCATGTTGACAATAGATGCCGAGGCAGAGCGGCTGCGGGAAGAGTGGAAGAAGGAGGCTGCAGATGAGCTCAGGAAGTGGTACGCACAGAGGGAGGAACAGCTGGAGAAGACCAAGGCTTCCAACAGGTATCCTCCCTCCCCCGATGTGTCTGTAAACACATCCTTGTCTAACATCACTGCCAACGGACTTACACAATACACTCACGGTAGAAATGTGACATGTTTCAGTTGTATTGAAGGCAAAGAGACATGGTGCATTGCTATCTATTCAGTACTAGCAATTCTACATGTGTAATGGTATTAACAGATGGGCTTCTAAATGTTAAAAATTCCAATGTGCCAGTGCTACTGCAAGATACTACAGATCAGACTACAGATAGTTAAGACAATTACAGATACATATGTAACCAGGCTGATTTAACAATTTGTCAGTAGTAAATTAAGTTTAATCTAGGAAGCATGATGTAATAAGTGATTGATGATTAATTTAAGTTAGTAGCTGGTAGTTGGTATGAACCAAGATTTTTTAATAAGGATGTCAAGTCTTATCCTGGTATCCAAACCGTGAGCCTCTTTCGTCCTCTTTGCAAATAGGCCTATGGCAAAGAGGACGAAAAAGACTTGGCAGCTAATATAGGTTTGGATACCAGGCTAATCAAGTCCATCTTTTTTGTTAAAAAGATTTCTCTTTCTAGTTATGATTGGACAGCATCCTTTTATGTCTTATAACAAAAAGAATAATTTTAGGTCTTCACAAGTCTCTTCTGTTGATTTTATGTACAAGTCATCTAATAGTCTTAATTGTTGAAATTCCAAAGACTTGAAAGGATACTGTGCAACCACCTTCTATGTGTTTGGATTGTTTCCTACTAGTCTACTGTATAAATGCATTTTTCCTGTTGCATGCCAATTATTGCACTGCCTGTCATTGCTGTGTACCTGTTCTGTGGACCGCACCATTGCACGACACCACCACCACCCACCACCACCTCTTTAACTGCAGCTCCATCTACCTTCCACTGTTCTAACTGCATGTTTGTGTGTCCCCCCCTATTTTCTCTTGCCCGTCTCGTGGTTGCCGTGGTGATAAGGGTTGCAAACAAGGAACTGCTAAAGCAGCTGGAGGATGATGCTCTTGCGACGCACACGCGCCGCAGCCGCACGTATGTGGGATTATGTTCGTGCTCGGTAGCTACACGTAGCCTGCCAGACGCTACTGTAGCGCTGTAGCTTACAGTCGGTGTTGTGGCTAAAGGTTTATTTGTTTGTTTTCGTGCTTGGTGAACATATTGTTGTGTTTATACATACATGTACATGCCATGCTTCTTGCTTGTAGTGCTCTGTTACTGTGCATGTGACTGTAGTTTTTCAGACATATCTTTACTGTTGTTATCTACTTTTTAATGGACTTGTGAACTGAATATAAAGCATGTTCAATTTGATGTCAACTTGTTATGTACATGTATCTCAATAAGGTCTGGTGTTCTTGTACATTTAGGTGTGTAAAAACCAAAGTACTTAAGATATGGTGAAGACTGTTACAGTGAATATTAACTTTGTTAATAGATGTGAAATATTTTTGTCACTGTTATTGTGAAGTGATCTGTTCTTTTGTGTAAATGTTTTCAGTACATATACCTCTTAAAAGATTCAGTGAGATGGTTAAGTGACTGTACCTTTAGTTAAAATTTATGTTATGTAATTTGTTTCTGCACCTTCAACAAAATGGTTTTAAACTAATTTGTTTCAGTGTTTGACCGCAGGATATTTTTTTTACCCCCCCTCTTTGCTTCTTTCAGCATGTCTTCACATTTGTTTTACTTGTTTAAACCAAAGCCATACATTTTTCTTCTGTCATAATCTATGTGTTATATGTTTAGATGTTGTCTGTCTGTCTGTAACTTTCCACCTAAAGGAAGATGAAACTTTACGGTGTAATTTGTTCTGGAATTCAGGTCAGCAGAAGAGGCATTCCGAGAGGAAGTTGCGGAGTCGAACCCCGGCCAGGAGTGGGAGCGTGTGGCGCGCATGTGTGACTTCAACCCCAAGAGTTCTAAGGGCAGCAAGGACACAGGGCGCATGAGATCCATCCTCCTTCATTTGAAGCAGGAAGGGCTGCAGCGTTAGAAAACATAGCCTCTCATTGGGGACAATAGAACATGATGAAGATAGCAGCACATTTAAAAATCAATATCTAACACGTATATATGTATATCCCAGGTAGTGTCATGTAATTGTGCTACTACAGTTTTACTAGAAAGTCTGTAAGAAGTGTCTGTTTTGGAAGATGGTGATAATTCAAAATAGTAGAGAGTCTGCGATTTGAATGATTAAAAGTAATAAGTCCTTTTTTGGTATGCCAAATTCACTTGTCCAGCAACATTCTGGGGGATATTGCAATTAGAATAATGCTCCATATCCATTTTTTTTTACAGTTAGTCCTTTTATGTGAAGAATTGATAGTGTCCAAAAGCTCCAAGCAGCAAACAATCTGTGGTAGTGATTAATAGATTTACTTGCATATCTAAAATACAATCTAAATATCATGATGTAGTAGAGGGAACTAGTAACACTAAAACAAAGGTGATTATGAAAATGCATAATAAAGCAATGTACATTCCCACCTCATGAGGTTGTATGTTTATTTTCTTGTCAATGGTGTGACATATATTTGTATTACATAACATAATTTAGAACAAAGCTACATGTTTATTCAGACACAAAATCTAGGATCAACTCAACAAGTATGACATACCGGGTATGTGTTGCTTAAGATGGGTAAAGAATAATAGAACAAGAATGCAGATGGTGAGTTATTAGGGATTCCATGGTTTATTTTGGTATAAAAATTAAGGCTACACAAAGATGCTTTATAAAGACCATTACTTCAAATAAAATGTCCATGGAATGCAGAGACCCTTTCCAACTTAACTGCACATTCCTACAGAGTAGCACTCTTTAAATAGTTGATGAGGCAAATGCTTTGGTTGAATTTCTGCTGCAAGTGCTGCCATATTGCCTCCTGGGTGGTTAACAGCTGCTGTGCCTGCTGCTGTAGCTGTGCTTCTGAGGTTATGACACTGCCGTGCACCTGGAAGGACATTCAAAAACATCTTTAGGGGGCTTTCTGCTTCAAGGCAATAAGGTCAGTTATTTCCAAAGTGCTTAACACTGCAACAAAGGATTTTTTTATCAGCTATGTTTGATATAGGTAGCTCTAATTTTGTATTGTTGGCAACTACAAGTTAACTGTGCAACCATAGCATATGGCTTTATAATACCAAGCTGTTTTCAAAGTATAGAGAAAGAACTGATAAAACCATGCTTTAAGTCTCCAGTTTAAGAAACCTTACTTTGAGGAACAGCCCTGTCCACGCCTGTGCAAGTTCAAAGTCCTGCCTTGTGGTGAAGACGTGATGTAGGAACTTGAGGAACTCTTCCATCAGGGCGACGCTCCCCCCACCCTCTGGAGCCAGGGACCGTATCTCCATATCTACAGCTGACGGGCCGAGGTCTCTCAGCCTGGACCTGACTGTGTCATCTATGGTAAAAACAACAACAGAAATTGAATAAATGTTCATCAGCAATGGATTTCTATAAGAATGTAGCAAACATGAGCAATAGATATAACATTTGTTCAGCCAAGAAATTTTGGCGATCCATAAACTTTCAAAAGGCATCAGCTATATTCTGAGTAAACTGTATTGAAACATTCGGACGTTTGCATACCTTTACCTTATGTAACAGTTACTGTAGTCAATACTCACAGTCAGGTTTATCCATGCACCCCTGTAGCAGCCTCTGGAACTCTGACTGGGGCTGAAGACTGCCCAGGTTGATGATCTTAGAAGATGGCTACAAAAAAAAGGGGTCGGGAGAAGTTGAATCAGATACATTTTTGCATTGAAGTACTTACCTTCTACATAGAATTAGGATCAATGAACTTTTTATTATTTACTGAAAAGTGCTCAATACCTACCAGACTGAGTGTAATAATAGTGAATGATCATATGGAACAAATCAGGACACAAAGTTCAGACAAGTCTATGACACAGTAGAGTTGTGCTATGGACACCTTCCTCTTATACATAGCCATGTAATTTCCATGTAAGTAACAGTTGCCGATAGTTTGTGGTAAATTTGTTCGTACCTCTTCTTTTGGCGCCTGCTCCTCTGGTGCAAACTTGATCTCCAGGCCTGGAATTGTGGGTAGAAAGAACGGAGCAGCCTTGGGCACCTTTGGGGGCTCCTTGGGTTTGTTACGCTTCTGTAGTTTTGTGAAAAACAAGTAGGTTAGGTCAGCAGGCAAATTCTGCTGCAACCCCAATGTGAAAGTAGAAAAGCTAAGATACACATTTCAAAATTGTACATCCTGCTACTGCTTGGTAAAGTTACAAAATAACTTTTCTACTTCCTTTCTAAGTTTATAGTTAAACATACAAAGATCAGTCCATACAGAGATGTGTATGATACGAGTATCAAACCTTGATGAGCTCCAGGTTGGTCAGACTTTTCCACCTGGAGTCTGGCAGCAGAGACAGGGTGATCAGTTCTGCTGAGATCTGGTCAGGTGACTTGAAGGCTGGGATCTCATTGGCTGACTCCGGTTCTGCAATATCCTCCTCTTCTTCATCTGCAAACAGAAAACCGTTAAATATCAGGCATGGTGTTTGGTGAATTTGCTTATTTAATTAATGTAAGCAAGGTAACACCAACAATGTGGATAGACTTGAGTGTGACATATTTTGTAACTGACCGTCAGACAGGGCACGTGTGCCTGGCATAACAATGGTCAGTGGTTGGTACGTAGATGGAAGTGGCCTGAGAGACACGTGGCTGTATAGGGTGGTGTTGGACCTGTTGGAAAGATGGAGTAACATGTTGAGATAAAATTTTGACAGGTCTGTCAGTATTGAGTGACAAACTTGCGAGGCTTGAAAATATGTCACATGAAGCTTACTATCCATGTTTTAAACAGACCTCTTTTTTTCTTGGATTTGGTCACCATGCCAAGATAAAATAGGCCATCAGTAGTTTGACTACTATAATGCAACATTGCCTTTCGTTTAAGCAAATTTGGTACATTAATGTATACACATCAAGTGAGGAACACACACTACAGTGCACATACAGACTATGGCAACATTAGCTACATTGCAGGCTAAATTCCAAACTTCACATAAACCAGGTAAGGTTCACATCACTACTAACCACAGGTAGATGCCGACGTCGTCCACATGTGCCGTGGCCAGGAAGTCACCAGTGGGAGACAGGGTCAGACTGGTGCAGGCTGCATCCAACAGGAAACAGTCCAGTAGACTGGGGAGGGGGGCAGGTGGAGAACATGTCAACTTACTGGCATTTTCACAACACATTGTATCCACTCTTCATTAACACACTCAGTGATCAAGTGAGAATTTGTGCCCATCGGCTTTGTCCTAGTTTTTGTTGGCTTGAGTGAGACAGCACTGAGCAGTTGTCAAATATTCCTCACATCCTAACATACCTATGTTCATTTTTGCACCTCTTTCTTTTGAACAATACTTTGGCATGGATTCTGGCAGAAGAAATTGACACGTCTAGCAGAGCAAACAAACTGACCTTCCTGTTGGTAAGTCCCACGTCCTGACTGTACAGTCCATAGATGATGTCACCAACCATCTGGCATCTGGGCTAAAGGTCTGAGAAGGAAAGGAAAGCAGGGTAGACTTACACGTTGTACATCAGGGCTATAATAATTTTCTCTGCATCAGACAATTTTACCTGTGCCACCTATTTTCTTTGCAAATCAGTCAATCAAAAAACAATGTTTTGAAATTATTCCTAGTAAATGTATTAGCATTTTGAATGTTTACCATGTCTGTGATCCTGTTCCGGTGTCCTGAAAACCTCCTCACCACCCTCCTGGTCTCCATGTCCACAACAACAACAGAGAAGTCGTCACACGCCACAGCAAGCATGTTGCTAGGATAAACATACAACAATTGTGAGAGGGATACATAAACCTGAGCCTCGTATATCAACCCCTTATAAGTTGAAATTAATGTTATGATGATCAGTCCTGTTATCATTCATAGTGACATCCTTATTGTAATGTTTTACTTAAACCTGTATAAGAAAAGTTACTGTAAAAGTAAATTTATAAAATGACCTACCTTTCCCTATGCAGTACCATCTGAGCCACTGGTGAGTCCAGTTCCAGTGTGTGAAGGAGTTGCTTAGATTTGAACTTCCAGAATTTTAAGGAGCAGTCTGCGGCCCCCGTGACGGTCACTTGGTTCAGTCCATCTACTGCAACTCCCCTGACTGAGGCATTGTGTGCTAGAAAATGTAGATAAAATAAAAAACAATAAAATACAGGTCCAAAAGTCACCCACTCATTACAATTCTTCACGGATCATCTGTATTTTTTAAACGGTACTGAAAGTAACATGTTTCCTTTTAATGAAGTGCTTTAGTAACATGCAGAAGTACAAAACATGTAAGTTAAGTTTTAACAGCATCAGCACCTCTCAGGTCCCCATATGACCCTCTGTAGATACCAGACTGTATGTTGTAGACGTCGACATGACCTGAGCTCTGTGCAATCACACAGAAGTTTCCGCAGGATGTGATGGTCACTGCCTGGGGAAACATGGTGACAGAATTATGTTTTACTCATAGGAGTTGTTTGTAAAAAAAGTGTGTAGTCATTGCTTATCTGCAATACATCAACAGTACATCATATTGTACCTCAGGTATTCTTTTAAAAATCAGACCTCAGACACCTACAGCATCAATGCAAAGATCAGTCCTCAAGGATTCCTCCTTGGTCCAACAGACGATTAGTGTATTCTTGATTTTGGCAGGATACATAAGTGAGGAGTCATACGTCATTCTAAATTCACTCTGCAAAAGACAATCATTTCTCTCACCTGAGCCTCCACCCCCATGTTGCTCTCTGTTTTCCACCTGTCGTGCTCCAGCTTGTGTTTTCCCATGGTGCACTTTTGGTAGTTCCATGTGGAGGCGACCTTGTGACCCCGGTGGCAGCACACGATGGAGTCCCAGTCACTCTGTCTGGTCGTCTCTGAGGAAGACACAAAGGTTTGCTCTTAATGCTTGAATAAAACAGGAAATCCACAATCCTTTTTAAGGAGGTATGGTAATTTCAAACTAAGCCTTGACTTAAGTATTCTAAATTTCTCAAGCTGGTCATCCATTAACTATTGTGTACACTAAATTCATCTTCTCAAGTGTAATCAGTGTATGTTAAACAGGAAACATGACAAAGACACTTATATACAAAGATCCCACAGATCTAAGTTTCTTTGGGACAATAGAATAGGATAACAGTAGCGCACCTGAGGCAAAGTCTGTGATTGGAGGGAGTTTGTGTTCATCGTTCTTTATACCCTTCTTCTTAGCCTGCTGTCTGTTCATGGAGGCTGGCAAACAGGTCATAAATTCATGACAAAGAATTCATTATAAATACATGTACTGGAAAATATGACCACAGGCTTATTAGGCACATCAAGATAGACCAGTCTAGATGCCTAATAAGCCTATAGAGATTGATAAGCAAGAATCCTCTTTCACCACCAGTACATACATTCATAGACAACTGTATGGCTGTTTCTTTATTATGATCATTACACTGCTTAAACAGTTCAACGTGCTGGCCTAACTTCTGAATAACAATATGAAATCAGTACATCCAATAAAAACTCATAAAGATTAAAAAAAAATAGCATTAACAAAATCAAAATAAACATTTTGCTGTCCCTACATCCAATTCCCTGATGACCTACCTTGTCCCAAGTTCTTGTTGTGCCTGTCATGTACAGTAGAGAAGGACTGGAGGGTGCTGTCCTGGCCTGGCAGGGAAAAATACACACATGAGAACACCCATGTCAGAATACATGTATCTTCTTCTGAAATGGCTGAAAAGCCAAGCAATACACCATTTCTTTTTTTTTTTAATGTGCACACATTCGTTTTTAAAATCTTCAATCAACATTGTACATTGGCCATTGTGACAATGTACCTGCACTGAGGATGTTCTGCCCATTGTTTCCATGGAAACGTATCCTGTTGGGCGGGGCCCGGTGGCCACACCTCATCCTCAGCAGCCTGCCGCTCCCATCAGACTGGTCCAGAACCCACTCCTGAGATGGGGGATGAAAGAGACAAAATTTGGGTTCATTTTGTAACAATTTTCTAACAAAACTCTACAAATAATGTGTTCAGCAACATAGACTAGTTTAGCAGCAAAAACAATGGACATCATCAAGCAGCAGTAAGTCAGGTTCAAATATCCACACACTATACAAAATTGATTTTGTTTACAACATTTCACATGTGCTTGTTGTAATCTTTCTGTTCTTACAATTCCCCTCACACCTTGATTGAGTTATCGGCAGCTGATGTGATCATCATGGGTTCTGACGGCAGGAACTCCATCCCCGTCACAGCCGTCCAATGAGCCTCTCTCATCTGCGCCAGCAGCCGCCTTTCCTCAAGATCCCACAATGCAATGTGGCCAACAGTACTTCCTGTAGCCATCACTGGAGGACCATCTGGGGTATAACATAGAACAAGTTAAGTATGTGTCTCTAAAACCTGTTTGAGCTGATAACGAATAAACAAACAAACAAGCTAACATCATACACATGTACAGCCAAGCCTTGTGGCCAACGAGTTGGCCTCTTTTGTAAGATTTTGGACAGACGACAAATTGCAAACTCTTAACATGACAGTATTTATAATGTGTAGTTTATGCCTGACCAGTTTTCTACCTAGCATCTGTCTTTCTGCCATTTGAAGGAATTTTGCTGCTCATGATGGACAAAAATGTTGCCATCATTTTCGACGGACAAAAATCGGCATGTAAAGATATGGAAAGAAATGTCATTAAACTAGGCTTATTCTACCAGCAAAACTTGACCCTCAAAATGCAGGAAATAGCATTTCAGATGATTAAGATGTCAAAATTTTACTGGGGAAGCATTCCCCCAGACAGACCCCCTAGGATTGTTTCCCATCACACAAAATTCAAATGGCGAGAGCACTGCACCTGACCCACCAGTTCTGAATCCGATGGCTGTGATTGGTCCCCAGTCCTGATACAGCTTCATGACCGTCTCGTCAAACTTGATGTTGTGGACCACGATCTGCCCGCTCTCTGTTCCCACTGCAACAACATCCACAGCAGGGGCCTGCAGGAGATATGGTCTTTCATTTCCTACATTTAACATTCCCAATGGGTTCTTTGAAGGAAAATACTCCAAGCTAATTTGCTATTACTTTCATATGGTGATTGTACAACTTGTACCTGTCCACCATTTCATTGTTTGTATGAATGCACACAATCAATAAAAATAAACATTCATTGATTCATTATAGACATATTGTTCATAAGTATCCCTACCTGTTCTATAACAGTGATAGGGGATCCCCAGCCATCAAAGGTGTGCAGCAATTTACTGTGAGGACAAACCATGAGCAAAGGGATTTAACAACACGTTGTGCATATTCTACAGTTGGTAATCTTCAAAGTTATCAACAGATGTTACTAATTTTCAAGCTTTGCCAAACAAATTAACTGATGTTAACAGAATTGGAAAATGGTTGCGGGAATGAACCAGTTGAATTACACTGCAAACATTTTTTTCACAAACATATCAAAAGATATAAGAAAACATAGAACTGGGTGTGGACCCTACTTGGTCCTGATGTTCCACAGCTGCATGCTTCCCTGTCTGCTCCCCAGGAGGATCTTATTGAGGTAGGTGCTGGGGTGCATCAGGGCAGAGATCTCAAATGTCCTGTTGTCAAATGTCATCTCCAGATATAACTCTGTCAAGGAAGATTTTGATGTTACATAAATCTGTAAAAATCTATGCACTTTTAACATCAAAAGGTGTTGTACAACACAAAAGAAAGACGAGTACTGTGATGTATTACTAACACATTACAAAAGACAGAAGAATACTCTGAGTGATGTATTCACATTTCAGTAACTTGTTTGAATGTGAAGAACAAACTATAGCTAGTCCCTACCTTCTGACTGGATGTCCCATATCTTGACTACACTGTCCACATCCACACTGATCAGGTGATTACTGAATGGTAGCAGAAGGTGAACGTCCTTCTGATGACCTTCATAGGTGTGTTTCACCTGAACAACACAAAATAAAACTTTGTAAACAATCCTTCCTAGAAACATTTTCTCATTAAAAGATATTGAAGGCTTTAAATCTTCCTAACACTATTACCAGTCTAGAACATGTATCAGTTAACATCTACAGTTTGGCATAAAATGTAAACTTTGTAAAAAAAAAACTATAAAAATAACATTACATGTATATGGTATCACCACTTCATCTACTAGTATCTTGCTTAAAGAACCAACAAATGTTACTGCATAAAAGTCATTACAGGAAAACATGAAAGAAAAATATTCTTTTGAGTTTACACCGCAAAAGTTTGATAGCAGCAGAATTACATTGAGAAATTCCTTGCATGGCTACTTCTATGGGAAGAATTTCATGCTTGGTAATTGCATTCATGGTTGCCATCAGTATTAAAAAATGCAGCATTTTCCAAAATCTTTGCATTACAGTTTGCTTGCATGTGGTATTTACCCTGTATACTATAGCAACCATAAATGCAATAATGAAAAATAGAATTCTTTCCATAGAAGTGGCTGAATGAGGAATTTGATATATTTCCTATCACGTCATTGAAAACCAAATACATGTACATCTACAAGGATAGAAATAAATGCATCTTAATGAAAAATGCCATCAGCTGCTGCCATTAGCAATATAACAGTATATAAACACAGGTTAAACACGTTGATGAAGGTTTGACATCGCGGTAATGAGAGACATAAGGAAAGTATTACTCAAGCAACTAGATAAATTTCAAACGCTGCGAGCCGTTTATAGAAGTAGCCTCCACTACTTCTCGTCAGTTTCTGCTTTCAGTCACTGATGAAAAGTAGTGGATGCTACTTGAAATATCTAACAGTTTTCAAAATTTTCTTGAGTAACAATTTACTTCTTCCCACGTTAACAATATAGCCCTCCCATCAGTTTTACCTGTCTGCCCCTCTCGAATGCCCTGATGACGTTCCTGCAGCCTGTGAAGACCAGGTAAGCGTCCACAGCCAGGCAGCTGATACTGTCTGGATGGGAGTCACTCACACTCACTATACCCAGCTTAGAACACTGGTGGGATAGAAAGAAATGTCACAAAGATCATTAAAACTAAAAACAAATTTACACCATTATGAAGTTGTAATTATGTAACAAGTAGACACCATACTAGTACTCTTTACCTATACAATTGCTGTGCAATAAACTTATTATTATACCATTTGTTAATACATGTAATACTTAATGCCTTATTTTCATCTGGCTGGCCTGCAATCAACAATTAAATTCTGCCCTACCAACACACACTGGAGTACTTTTTCAATACTCAATAATAATATGTAAATTTATATCACACTTTGTGAGTGAGTGACTGAGTGTGTGTGTGTGTGTGTGTGTGTGTGTGTGACTGAGTGTGTGTGTGTGTGTGTGTGAGTGAGTGTGTGAGTGAGTGAGTGAGTGAGTGAGTGAGTGAGTGAGTGAGTGAGTGAGTGAGTGAGTGAGTGAGTGAGTGAGTGAGTGAGTGAGTGAGTGAGTGAGTGAGTGAGTGAGTGAGTGAGTGAGAAAATTACAAACTTCACAGCACCCCCCTCCCCCACCTAACATTCAACCTCAACTTTGTACCGCTCTAACCTAATGTCTACATCATAACAACAACACAAAGATGTCTGACTTGTTACAGACTCACATTATAGGTGTGGAAAGCCTTCCCCACACACGTGATGACGTAGTGTTCCTGGTGTTTCTGATGATATCGGACCTGTAGAGGGACGTGGTTGGAGTAGTAACCCAGCGCGCGGAAACCCACGAATATCTGGCTCGCTCCGGGCATATTCGCCTCGTTATCTGCCGTCCAACGGATTAAACAGTGCCCTGGGAACTTGCGTCGACTGTAGCTCTTCAAGATCAGCGATCAGTACGGGTTTAAAGACACAAAATCGGTAGAAATCTCCTAAAAGCCATGTACACACATGCACATGTGGGGCTTCACCTTTGACCTATCAATGGAAGAAACCATTACCTTTGTAGGGGAGTTTGTAACTGTTGACGCAATATTCAATTTTACTAAATCTCCAAGCAGATCTTTTTAATAGGGTGGCAAAAGACAGTATCAAATTGGCCAGGTAGTATCTTGGGCGGCGTATTGGACCCTAGCTCGCTGGCCAATGGATACCGCCTGGCCAATTTGATACTGTCTTTTGTCACCCTAGGATCTGCTTGGAGATTACAATTTTGCGACCTGTTTTCTGTTTACGCGCAAAGTTTACAATAGCATGTGATCTGAATAACGGGACGGACGTGTATTAGTGTGGTGAACCAAGGACGTTATTTGTATTCTGACGCCGGAAATGTATATCAATAAAACTTTCATCCAAATCAAATTGTTAGCTCGTTGATATATTAAATCACCGGAGACCTCAATTGATATAATCACTGGAGACCTCAAAGGAATTGTTGTTGTTAGGATCCTAGGACTTCATGTGGAATTCAAGGGCACGGAAAGGAAAGGAGAAATTGGAAACCCCTTCAGAGAGCTGGTTTTTAAAATGAACGACAAAACTACTACTTAGATGTTGTAACGTCACACCACTCCAAACCGACAAAGACACTCGCTTGCACTCCCACAGATCAAACTGCACATCCCGCATTTTGGCACACCCGGGACCGGGACCACGGTGCATTCAGCCGCTTTTCCCGTGAAACCTTCAACCCTAAACCTGACATCGTGTATGATTCAGACACGCAGAAAATGTACCAGAGTGGTTGATGTGGGAATGGGAGATGCCAGGCCTTGCCCACTTTTGTGTCGCCTGCCGTGACATGTGACGTTATTGCGTGCTGTTATCCCACAAAGCTTGGCACTTACCTGAGAGTAGACTTGTAATGAAGCAAATAAAATCCTCAAACTCTCTGTGGACGGCCGCCAAGAGCATCAAATTTCTATCTGTCCCTGTGTAATGTACCGTCACGTTTTCAATACTACTAGCTAGTAATAACGTTACACTGAATGAATACAAAACTGATAGAGGCTGTGCTGTATTTCTTACTTTCCGTTCAAAGGACGATATCGGAAGGCATGCCCGTGTTGCTATGAAGTTAAAGACAACTACTAGTATCGCAACAACAAGTCAGTGTCGCACAAGTCAGTGTCGAATTTAGGGTCTATTTTAATATATAGCGGGCTCCGATCTGTAGCTGGTGTCTTTTCTATGTAATTTACTGTTACTGTATAGAAAACGGAAGGCAGCAGAAGCCCGCGCCCCACGGGCGATGTCCTTGGTGCTGAAATGGGTGGTCACTTATAGCTGTAGTGTAGCACGTCACCAGAAAACCAGAAACCGGCAGTATCAAAACGTTGACTCAGCCTACCTTGGAGGTTTATCTCAAAATGAAAAAGTCCAAGATAGATATGAAAACAGTTTGATACGCTTTGGTATTGGGATTTCTGCCCCAAACACCTTTGACACTTTAGAACGCAAAGACACGCCTCCAACTACCCTATGTGAACACATCGTTTCGTAAGTAGCTAGTATGATAGATGATCGACATCTTTTATGTTGTTATGAACATATACCGAAGACGCACCTGCGCGAACTTCAGTAATCCCTCCTTCCCGTTGATGTGATGTTAGCACGCCGGGTAAGCCCCGCCCACTTCCTGTACAATATTAGTGACCACGGGGAAACTCCGCACGCTCCGAGCGCATCGTCATCAGCCAGGAGGCAGACAGGCGATGGTAACGACTCCGGGAGACTTCAACGTATCGGGGATGCTGCCGCCGGACTTGTCCGGGGCGTCCCAGGCCTTCCAAGCCGCCTGGGTCGTGTCCATCCTCGTCGCCAGCGTCCTGTCGAACCTGACGGTTCTGGCCGTGGTCCTGTGTATCGAGGACCTGAGGCAGCCGGCCAACTACCTCCTGTGCGCGCTGTCGGGCGGGCAGATGCTACAGGTGTTGGTCATGGCACCCCAGGCCGCCGTGCTGCTCACCGTGCCGGAGGCCAGCATGACAGAGGCGGCGTGCGTCCTGCAGGTAGTTTTTTTTTAGAACAACGATTTGCTAGAGTTGTCGAACCCGGTGTTTTGTACTCTTTATGTTGTTTGATGAAAAAATATAGGAGGGAATTTCTAACAAGCATTTCTCCATTGAAGCGGCATGGAAAGAACATACATGTAACGTGTTACTCTTTATTTTTGCTAAACAATGAACGTAAAAAAGAACAAGACACAGTGGAGGGCAACTCTAGCAAATTGCTCATTTTAGTCTCACCACCGACGAAGAAGAATATAATCAGTAACAAATACTAGTAACAAAATAACAAATGGGCATTCCCAAATACAGAGATAGCATGTAAAATCCTTATGTGAAATTGTATGCTCTATTTTTTCATGTTTTCAGTCCTTGGGAATGGTTTGTCAAGAAAAAAGAATCCAACTTACAGGTCTCGTCAGAAATCAAACAAAACCCATCAGAAGAGAAGAGAAGTACGGGTGATTTAGGTCCAGGCTTGCAAGAAACCGAGTACAATCAGAATTGATATACAATCAGAGAACAGCACGTATTAACCGAGAAAACCCCAGCCCGCGTATGTCTGATACGGACGCTATCTTTATAATGAGCAGCTATAGAACATCACGCTGAGCAGTGCGTGGTGACAAGTATGGTTAGATGTAGATCTACTACGCGATAACTTGACATATGTGGTCACATTATCAGCTAAGAGCCGCCTAGTGCCCGCATTGTATTGTCTTGATACAGTAAAGCAGACGAAAACATTAGGTTCGTTATCTGTGGTACTCTCTAGCAATGATTACTAGTATTCAATCAACATCAAATCATGACATGAGTATCTCAGGATCTTATGTCATCTGGCCATGGATGGACAGCGACGAACAAGTAAGGGTCTTAGAAGTCAAGAAAGAACAACTTTTGAAGCAGTAACTCTATCACTGAGGCGGAAGAAAAATAAAACACTCCTGTTCCATCTTGGATATAAAGCAGAAAATGGTTAATACAAGCAAATTGCACCTGTGCCGACTTCAAAGTAACTAATAAAGATTGAGTCGGGTAATTGTAAGACGACTCTGCACCTGCAGCTGCTCTTTCGGTACACGATTCGCTTTTACTGATGGGATAAAAATAGAAACATGCCGAAAAGGTCGTGACTTTGATGGACACTTATGGAGAAAGCGGAGGTCATTCACTTCACACGTAAACACTTAAGCTTGATGGTTCAGACCCATCTGTTCAAAGTGTCGCAATAACATTCACAACAGGCCAGGGGTGTCTCATCAGTTTGCGAAAACACTTTAACAGACACGAAGCGTGCATTATTTTACAATATAGCTTGTGGACGGGGGCATCCTCTGTAAGGTAACATACTTTTCTTGTACGTTATTGGTAAGACCAAATCTAGAATACGCTGCAGTAGACCCAGCGTATAAAAAAAAGAAAGATAAAGTGGAAAGCATGCAAATTAATGGGCCAAATACACAACACGTAAATTTGCACCATGGGCTGTGGTACTGGCGATAAGCGCTGTCTTATGTACAAAATACTGGTTCTGCCAGAAGCAAGAGAGTGCTGTCGTCTGAAAGTGATGATAAATGTAGTGCCTTCTGTGCAAAGCTGAAGGCTGTGTAATTTTTCACTGGAAGGAACTCACTCCCCTGGCGACCGCTGTAAAGACGTTATCCGTGAGCCAGGGTGATGTCCTAGGTCGGAACGGTTCACTCCCAATCATTTTTAGACGCCTTGAGAACGCGGAGTCTGTGTATGGGTGAAACCAGGGGGCATTCGATCGATAACCCCGCATTGCAGTGAAAAGAGATGGAGTCTCAAGAGTTTCTCTGAAAGGCCTCTAGTAATTTCCAGGAAATAGCAGAGCAACAGTAGCCTGGGCGCCATCCGATTCGTAACGGCAGCTCCGAGAAAAAAATCTTTTCGCTGTTGCCGTTACAAATTGGATGGCACCCAGGCTAGGGCAACGGTTGTTTGTACATTTTCCCGCTAAACAGGAAATCATGTACAATGTACAAATGTATATACGCTGGAAATTATATGTAGTAAAAGGGAATTCTTGCTTTGTTGTTGTGATCGGAAAGTCTTTGATACACAAATACACTGGTATCATGATATCACTTCATGTATTTCAAGAATACGATTTAACGCTAGAGTCTGTATCTGTATCTATATCTTTGTGGATGGTGTAACCGCCCTTTGGCCAAACACGCCAACTAGGGGTCCCGGACGAAAATGATTTCCGCGTCACGACGCCGTTCAAAGCTAATTTAGACACCGCAAGTTCTTTATCTACAGACGGCAAGACGCCCACGAGCTATCCGCTAGCCACTCGATTTTCTTTCAATGAGAAATTGATCCATACGGATTACGTCTTAGGGTCAAGACCTTTCAAGAAGGCAAACGGCTCACATGAGATGGCGTAGGAAGACACAGAAGATGCTATTCTTGGAGGAAAAGTGAGAAAAGGAGCTTCGGCGTGGGCCTTTCTCACCGCCAAGAAGACGTTTTTGCAGGAATCATCCTGCCAGTGAGCCAGTATTACAACAAATGGTTACTTCACGACATGGCTAAAAAGGTCAATGCTTGTAAGCTGTGAGAATAATGACCCCGTGAGATTCAGCCGATAAGAACTCGTGTAAGTGAGAAATTCGTGATTTTGAACGGAGAAGCTCCCAGGACGCAGTTCGAACATGGGCATTATATATTCCATATCCTTGGGTTGAATCAGGCTCCATGGGGCGCAATTACAGGATAAACCTATGGAGTGAAAGGGCAATTTTATCATAAAGATGAAATATGAAACCCACCGCGTACCAACCATACCTTCAGGGGAATTCAATTAGTTTGACGTCAAAGCATCTTCGGAGCACTTATGTGATTAACGCTTGTTCTGTGGGAGGAAAGCAGGCGCTGTCCGGGGTGCTGAATTGCTGTTGGGTTGTTACCTACGCTTTTGTGTATTGCTCGTACATGTAGAATATCAATCAAGAACTCTGTAATAGACCTGAGTCAGTTTAGAAATGTGCGCTGTATGGCAGAGACTGTCATTCTTGTATAGAACTGTTCAGCCGTACGGCCGTAGCTGAAGCTGTAGGGCTGTTAACAATTAGGATTTTACCATGGTTAATACTGACCATATATATGTAGAATATTATACAACTTGTAGATATATCTATCTACGGCACACGCTTGAAGATCACAAACCAATCGATGAATAACACTGAAGTTTTAAAGTGTAACTCAGAACGTGTGTGCTGTTTGAACTCTAAGTATATTGAGTCTGTCAAGGTTAACATATTGTTCATTCTGTTATTTTGCACGAATGAAAACACTCAGAACAAGAAATATTTCTCTGTCTATCAGGACTAATGTTCCCTTTCCTAAAGGATCTAAAGGAATTAGAGCATCATATAACACAGCCACATACAAGTCGTCTTACAAGATGAAAGATCTGAACGTTTTTGTTACTTTGTTGTCCTATCAGGGTATTCTGTTCATGGTCTCCATCACCTTCACGCCGTGCATTCTGGGAATTCTGTCGTTCGACCGCTATCACTACATCGTCCACCCTACGGAGTACCGCAACCGCTTCACCGGGCGGAGTGTTCTCACAGGTATACGTACATACACCTTCGTGAGATAACAAGAGATCAATGATAGCAAAGCTTCAACTAAGATTCAAGAACTCTAAGACGTCAGTCCCATTTAAATGGCATATAGCTTTAGGAAATAGACTCGATAAAATTCATTGGCCCTTGTGATGTAAACTTAGATGTGTTATGTTGTGTTGTGTTGTGTTGTGTTGTGTTGTGTTGTGTTGTGTTTTGTTGTATTGGGTGGATTTTACATTAAAAAGAACAACTGTCCAACAAGTCTGTTGGAATGGGTAACATTGTACTAGTACCTCAAATTGGTCGTAAATTGTGATTGGTAAGGTTTGAAAGTCATCTGAACACAACTGTAGGGCACGGCAGCTGTGTTGAAAGGTTTAAAAGGAAAGTCAAAGTGTGTAGTTAAACTGCGCTAGAAGGTACTTCCAGTGGAATATTGCCAACATTCGCTCTGTCTTCAGCATACCTCTCGGATATGATGTGCATACCTCACGTGTGCACATTTCACACTAACGTTCATTTCTTTCCAGCCATAGCCTGCACTTTTCTGTACACCTTCACCATGACAGTAGTGGGGCTGTTCCAGGGGAACTCCTACAGCCTGAACATCGGCCTCCTGGTGTGCACCAACAGCGCCGTCGTGTCTGATGTAGCCTTTGTCGTCTGCAGCCTTCCCGCCATCGGCCTCATCGCCTACTCCTACATCCTCATCTTCAAGGAGGCTCGCTCGCACTCGCGCAAGATCCTCCCCAGCGTCTGCTACGACGCACGGCGGAAGGACTTCAAGGCCAAGATCAAGACGGCGAAGACGGTGATGCTGGCCATCGTGATCTTCTTCCTGACCTGGGCGTCCATGGTGGTGGCCTACGTGGTGTCGTCCTCCCGAGCCGAGCCGGGACCGGGCGACATGCTGGCCCTGAGGGTGACGAGCCTTATCTTCCTCCTGTCCGCCTTCCCCAACCCCATCCTGTACGCCTACAGAAACAAATTCTTCAGGGACGCCGTCAGGCGCCTGTTCAGGAGAACTGCCAACGCCGTGAAGGACATGGTCTAGTATTCCTTAGCCTGACTAAATCGCGCTTCTAGCGACCGGCCTGTCCGAAGGTTGCCGGGTGGGGGTTATTAACCCCTTGACCGAGAGCTTGTGTAAACACAGGATAAATATTCCTGTGGGAAAGATCAAGCATGTATATATTGTCCCAATTTTTCCGTCCCGAAGTAGGATTTGATCCCAAGGATTGTAAGAAAATACAAAAGAATTACTTAGAGAACAAAATGCTGTATCTTTATTACATTTCTTGACGTTTCTATATAATTAGCTGTAGGGTTCACGAATATAAGCCATATTAATGAACCGTCTTAATGTTGAAAATCTTTTCTCTGTGTTTCAGCTGTTTTGATTACGTTTTGTGCATATAACTACGTTTTGTGCATTGTTGAAAGCTCAGTGTAAAGTCCACGTGTTGATAATGTATATGATATTTGGCAGTGTAATATTAATGTTTACACATTTAGTCTTTCCTTGCACATCTGTTGTATCGGACATTTGACGCTGTTTCTTTTTGTGAGATTTCGACAGCATGGAATTGGAATGGTATGCGTTCATTCCATGGCCACGTGTCTTTCTATATTCATTGTCACAAGATTGTTGTTTGGTCTAGAATCGTTTGATTTTGACGTCAATGAAATTTTCAACTATTGTTCGCACGAGATAGTCGTCTCCTTTGTCATAACAAATAAAACAGCACCAACAATATTTGTATCATCGCGTTACTGTTGATTATTGAGTTGTGTTTCAACACTTTTCGTAGGATAGGGTGTACTTTTTGCCTTCCTCATTTCAGCTAAGGCATGCCGAATTGTCTAGTCCTTTTTGTACAATTTTGGAACAGTCCTGTTTAACGGGTTAAGAAACTGAAAACAAAAGCAAACTGGTGGAGCTGTAGCAAATGCTTACATGCGACCATGGAGTTAACTCCATGATGCGACGAAGGCAGTTGTTATGCATAATCGATGTTTCATTTCACGCCCCAGAAGAAAGTGAACGGATTGTTTTCCGTACTATACCACCCACGGCTTTCCTGTATTAACCGTTCTAAGTAGCATCATATTCACGTCATACGGACGTACTGAAGTATGCAAACGCGTCACCGCGCACGCACTCGCTTTTGATCCGGTGGTACTGGTCATAACAATGTCTGACAAAAGATAAATCGCCCGCCAGTAACAACATGAAACATGAACATTCCAACAGCGTTCCTGGTAACATGTCATAGTAACAGCCTAACCGTTTGAAACGTTGTTTTCAGACATTTCAGTACCAAGGACAAATGCAGGAAGGATTGGGAAAGTGCACAGGAAAACAATGGTTTAATGCATTCACATCAGTGTCGAAGAAATTAGAGCAAATCGAAATCAACAGCTGTGGCACCTTCTACTCTTCTATGTTATGTATGTCTCCTTTTATCATTTTGTTCACATGGTTTTTTTACAGAGATCTCTTAAATGAAGCTACACACTCACACACAAAAAATGAACTCTCAACTGCTTGGAAGGCCCGAGTGTAGTTGACTGTGAAGCCCAAGTCTTGGCACAAACATGACACGCAGCTGTTCTAAAAAGATCAAGTTTATATGGACATCACGTAAGTGTCATCTTTATTCTGTGCACTCTTACGTAGTAAATGTCCGGGGTTTACGCTGTGGATACCGGACGTCGAGAATGGATGTTGCTGTGCGGCAAGCGAAAGCCTCAGTCGTAATGAAAAAGAGAACTCCAGGCTACTACACGTTTTGCACCCCTAAGTTAGTTACGACTGTCGTCCCTGGATTAACGGCGTGTATGTTAACGATAGGCTGAATTCCAGATCTAAAGGAAGGCACTGTACCGTAAAATGTAGTCTGACCCATCCGGGAAGCAAGAGGAGAGAGAATGTGGCGTGCCTGCTGATGGAAATTACCACAGAGGTTAGCAGTATAACGTGACAACGTCAAATCAAGAAGGGCATGTGGAGGAAATACACTTCTGAAAAACCATCGTGGTCTTTAAAGTTTCATAAAAAATTTGAACACCACAAACCTATCGATATACTCCCAGCAGAATGTGTGATCTTTTTAAGATCTACATCAATGATGCATGTTCACAAGTTTGATATGTATCATAATCTCAAATTCAAGCTTAAGTACTGGACAATGAAAATATTTCTCATCGTTAAATCTTATAGCCCCTTTTTATCGAATAATTCCTACATGTACCATGCTTTTTGCAAGGTTATTTTGTACATAGTGTAGGTACGGCAAATTTATAACAAGGTGTGGGCGTTACATTATTGTACCTGCGGTACATATGGGCGTACTATGGGATTCAGGCGGGCTTCGGTAGGCTCAGCTCCAACCTCTCAAGCTATGCGCGCATAAGCTCTTACGCGGTCACGGTGGACCGATTTTTTTTGCGTCTTGTGGCTGATTGCCCAGTGCTGAATAATCACGTCATATGCGGTTGCAGTAGGATTTAGCTTTTCAGACGCTCTGTTCCAACTTAGTGGAGGAATGGTATTAAATTTGACGAAGCGTGAATCAAAATGTACTTGGTCAATAACTCTATAACACTGCTGCCAACTGACTTTATCAACAGTCACTTTTAACATTAAAATTGTTGGTTCGTCTTTTGTTCCAAAGGTATGTTCGTTTGTGAATGGGGCTTATTACCGTATAAGGAGGCTAATTCGAATGAGCACATTCGACGCAGTTTAGATTCCCATTGTCATATAATCATACAGCACAGAAGTGCAGCGGTAGCACCCTGAGACAATTGTATAGAGGCAAGTATTGACGACCCACAGGGGCTTTGGTATAAAATATCTCAGCGATGTATCAGAAGTATGAATATGCCTGATTTCATGGCCCTTCCCTTTTAACAATCTTAATGTATATCTCATACTACATTTTGGGGCCAGTCGTGGATGTGTACCTACCAACTTAGGCCGTCTTGTAACGGGCGAATGCTATCGTTGATACTTTTCGATGGTTGTTTTGATCAATGATCGTACTACATGTGCGACTGTGCCGTGGCTATGCCAATACGGACTCCGACGTACTGTTTGCGCTGTCGTTTCTAGACTTTAACAGTCTAAACGTCAATTGCGTACTCTTCAGGCGCTACCGTCCCTCTTCAGAACGTGGTGACGCACAGGATTTACCCTTTCCACAGTTCTAATTGCCCCTTTCGATTCTTCAGAAGCGACAGCAAACTTCAACTTGGACTCAAGTACGGAAGTCAAAGGAGGGTGCCATCTTCTAATCAGCCCTTCAAATTTTGAGTCGAGTTTTAACTTTAAGGTGCTTCCACAGCCGGGTATCTTGTCAATGCTAAGCGCTTCTAAGAAATGAGCCACTCTTTATTGAAGCAGTTTAATTGTCGTTCCTCTCAAAATCAAATCGTTTAGCAGGACAATTTCAGTCATAGCAGGTTACATATTTAATATGATCATTGTTTCAATCATCGTAACTCGATGAAGGGCTCGGGGGCCGTTTTGCACCAAAGATGTTCATTGGTGTTTCTCTCAAAGTTTGCAGCAAGAGGGTCTGTTTTGTGTATATGTAGATGTGTGTAGACATCGTGACAATGAGCAATCAAACGGCCGGTTTGTTCTTAAGATACTTTAAATGACGAGACACATGCAAATTCAGGCGTCTCGCTGATTGAATCACATCAGTTGTAGTTCAAAGGTCAATAAGACTGCTCATCACATATCAGGTTTTGAGTTACATGCTATTTGAACGGCTTGATTTCGTAACAATAATATACCGTTCGTTTCAGGTGTAGACGAATATTATGGTAACGAATGCGGGTCAATGGGTTACTTTGACATGACGTTGGTATTTCTTAATGTGAATTACATTTGAGGCTTACAGTAATTATATAAACAGGTGAATGAATATGCAATAATCAATGTGTATGAATATGCAATAATCATTAACATTTATTGCAAATTGGCCAATCAGAAAGTGCATTTTTTCAGCCAATAGGTGAGCAGAAACAAAGTCCAAGCGACCAATCAGAGTAAAGCTACAAGTACATAAACCTGCTACCAGGGCCACAAGCCAACAAAGTTTTTCTGGAGGAGCCGTGGGGAAGTCGACGGGAGAAAAAGGTTAGTTTGGCGCCGTTGGATGATTTTTTTTGTCGTACTTATCTACTTCGTCTAAAATTATCCTGGAATACACGTTATGAACATTTTGCAGTTGCATTTCATCGCTATTAATCCTCGTGTTTTTTTTCCAGTGAACTGTCGGAGTAAAAGTCTTCAGACCTCTAAATATACGTCCAGTTCTTGTTCAACTTGTCCCGAATTCGTAGAAAACATGAAGGTAATGATTGTACTCTCTTAGAGCTACATGTATATGGAAGGCATGTTAGACTGGCGTACATTAGTGTGTTCTGTATTCCCGCTGCTCTTTTGGAAAACATAATTAAGGTTGACCACTAACTCGAGCTTAGATACATGTACGGAATTGAAAGCACGACGGATTTGTGCTCTGCTAGTGTTACATATACATGTAGTTCTACCTACATTTGTAGCCAAAGGCTAATGGACCGTTGTTTTCATACAAATCTTTTCGTAAAGCTCTAATACTTAAATTTCGCTGTAAGAAGTTCCTAGAACTGATTTCAACGCGTCTTGTCTTTTTCACACAGGTCTCAGTTCTACTGCTGGTGACGCTGGTTCTCCTGGCCGCCTCCACCGCTGCCATGGACCTTGAGGACGTCAAGACCAAAAACGACGTCAGAGCGTACATCAAGGCGGCCGGCAACAAAGTCGAAGCCGCCAAAGCGCTCCACGCCAAGATGGTGTCCCAAGGCAAGGACAAGATCGCCAAGAGGTTCATAAAAAGGGCCAGGAGGGCCTTCAAAAAGAGGAGGCAGCAAAGGAAGGACGACTGAAGAAATTTATAAGAACTGAATATTACTGGACAATGGACGGTTCCTCGACTACTCAGTGATACTTGTCTGATATTGTATCGTTTACGTCTAAACGTTTCAACTTCATTTGATACTTCATTTTAAGTACATACGTGACATTAATAATTATACGTGAAATTCATCTGCCAACAGAACAAAACTTACTCCATGTGATAGAAGCTAAAACTGTCGTGTCACAAATAATCTGGATGTTCATTGAAGGAGCCTTTGAATAAAATTATGAATTTGCCATCTGTGTTGTCAAATTTTCTTATTATTAAGCACTTAGTAAAACAGCTGAGCCAATAATTTAATACCCTGTATGTGACATAGTACTGGTATCTTCAGTTGTTAACAGTTCTCATCTCAAAACAACTTTAGCACCAACATCGCTGGTAATAAGGCATCGGGGCTTGCTAGTAGAATTCGTTTTAATGACAAATATATGCTAGCTAAGCGTGTATTGTGCCAAAATGTGACAAACCTTTTTCTTCTGAGCTACACATATAATGAAGGATGTATACCTGTACCACTTGCCTGTGTCTCTAGTGGATAACTGTCTACTAGTATTCCCAAGTTAGCGCTTTACAGGATGGTTAGTCCATATGATGGATTCATATCAAAGGGTTCCAGGACATCATAACACATTTGCAGCACTGTGGTTTTTCCCTTGGCTAAATAAACACAACTCTAAAGAAAATGTTATGTTTCTTCCTTAGTGACTTTTCAAATGTCACTCCTAGGATCAAAAGGAAACTCTTTTTTGCCAACTCAAACTAAGCACAGTAATGAATCATTTACTTGTACATGAATGTAGAGGTGACATGATGTTAAAACAGATGACTTTAAACAGAAACGTTCATGATGATAAACTAGCAAGGCAGAGCAGGTATTATATCTAAGTGGGAAAACTATATACACTGTAGCTGAGCATTGGTGTTTTACAGCCTGCAATGATCGTCAAGGGTTTTGTACATCAAGTTTATTGCTGATTCAAGGAAAACATACAGGAATCAAAGTCATCAAGTATTCTAAAAGTCTGTACAGATTGTCTTACAAGACAGTGGCAAGAAAATCCATTTTTAAACCCTGGATCAGTAAAAGGCACAAATACTGTACAAGACCATGGGTAAGTACGTGTACACAGACATAGGGACAAGATGCATATGTTTATGTATATGCTAAGAATATCATGTCTCTAAAAAAAGTCCTAGATACGCAGTACTTTACCATTACTTTGGCAAACAGTTAAAATACACATCTACAACATGCCAATAATATTGAGCTGATGGTACAAATACTTCTTCAGCTTTGCTTTGCTTTGTAAAACACTAAAAACTTCTTGTATATATGTAAAATACATAGTACATATATTCCTATGAGTACAAATCAAGCAATAATGGATGGAATGACTTAGCAGCAGAGAGGGACACACTAGGCTACATGATTCTATTTTAAGTGTATTTAAAAAAACAAAACAAATTTTACAAACAGACTGATGAAGCACCAAAAAATCCTGTGTTTTTTAAAACACAGGATTAAAAGGTAATAAACGAGTTAAGTTTCAATTTGCATCATGAAACAAGAAACTAAATGTGTGGACTATGATTTCTAATTATGAAGTCATATCAACACGCACACTTTCCTGAGTATATTTGTGAACAAAATGCCACATTCCCTTATCAATGAAGATCATGGTACAAAACTATTTTCCCCTGAAACCCTCAAAATTACAGGTTCGACAGAAATTTTTACCTAAAATTCATAACATTATTGCCTGCAAGGTCCCAAGACCATTACTTCATGTTGGAACTTGAAAATATTTGAGCATGGACACATCAGTATTCCTGGTGTGAATATACATTATGGTACTACTACAGATGAATACAGAGAGTAGGACCAATTGCAAACCAAGTTGCAAAGCTAGGATCAGTAATGATGAAACAATGAATTTTGACCACAGTAAACCCCATGATGATTCATTACTGTAACAGTAGCCTGAAGACCAGCCTTGTTAGTTTTTGTCAGAACTCACTTATTGCTGCCTTGTCAACTCTAAACCTAGCAAGGCTCAGGGATTCAGGCTACTATTACATGGAAGCATAGGGGGCGTATAGGACTGGTGAGCTACAGGCAGACACACAAAAAGATGGAGAACAATCGACAGGAGAATGGATATGCAAAAAGACATGGAATCAGGCCTGGGATTTCATTGCACATTTTTCTACATGCAATTTAAGTTTCTGTGGGTAGTTTGGGTGGAGGAAACTTTTATTCCAGGTATGTGGATGTTTTCAAGTCTGACAGCAGTAAACTGGGATCGAAACCTCTGAAACAGAATAAAAAGCAACAGTCAGTGCACAATGATCAATCCCTTACCACACATTCAGCTGTTTTCTTTTTTATTAACTACAATTTTCACCTCAAAACAGGGCTCATACAAATGCTCATGTTGGACTGTCTTTCCCCTTCCATACAAATGGGAGAAACACAAGATAAAACATTTCCACCTCTGCAACATCTTACATACATATTATCTTGTCTTGATTTCTAGATTAACAAGGTAAAAGATTCAAAGGACCCATTATGCCTAAATGTTGACAAATTGTACCTATTCAACTCTAATGTACCTCCTCCCCTTAAGTGTGTTCCATTCATCTAGATCAACACCACAAATTGTAAACCAAGGGAATACCAATAAGTCTGTCAGTGACACATACTTAATCTATTGACCAATTTGCTACATCAATTATAGATTCGCTGGATAGTTAGTTAACTAACTGATAAACAGCTAGGGTGATGACATCTGACATGCTGGTGCACATGTCCCTTACCTGCTCCTAGATTTGAGACTCCCAGCATCCCTTGCACCTCCCTGGGGTTGTTCTAACAACTGAGAATGAAAATAACAGATTTCCCCATTAGCAAGGTGTGTTAAAGTCCAGTAGGCTTTGTAATATCTTTTGGCAACTACTGACTTGCTGCATGGTGAATAATGTCATTTATACCGGTAGAATACATGTTTCAGATTGTCTACCTTATTGTAAACATGAAGCTGTTCCACTGTACTTAAGATTGTTTTATTTCAATCATCAAATTTGGAAGATACATTTAGTAAATGGGTCCTTCCAAAAATAGGTGATCTTTCCTGACTCAAGTCATTATAAAAAGGTCCCAACATTTCAAGTTGCTGTTAAATATGAATCAATAAGATATACTACCTTCTTGGATATACATGTACATGGCACTTTTAATGGTTATACTTGTCAAATAAAGTCACTTCAGCAACGTGGAAAATGTTGCTGGCACAAGTTCAGACATATATGCACATTGCACACTTACATGTATGTGTACTTCTTACTTACATGTACCCCCACATTATGCTGCTTTGTAACGGAGCAAAGGGAGAAAATTAGTAGGTAACATGCCTGTCTGCCTACATGTACCAATTTCCAATTTCTTGGCCAATTTTCAGAATCAACCCCATATAAATTATTTCTGTTAGTAATTCATCAAAGACCATGAGCTGTACAAATTACATGATATCACTACTCTAAAGACTAAAATTATTCTGAGAATTATAGTATACTGGGATGAAAGATGGACTGTGGACTGGTACTGAACATATGCTTCCATGTTACCACATAGAAATTCCTATTAAAATCCTCTTGGCAATAGTAGCAATATTAATCACTAAGTATTCAACCACCCTTTGACATTCAAAAATGCAAAATACATTCATGAGTATTGCGATACCTGTAATACAGATAAATGCTACAGAATAATATAATATCATTTATTTTGAAAAACTGAGCCTTGTAAAACTGCACAGAATAAGGCCTAGGACTTAGACAGCATATCGAATGATATATTTAATGATCATTGTTTTTAGGATCACTTGAGGTCAACTGTCTGAAAAGTTCTCTTTGATGCTACTTCAATAACAAGGTTGGGTACCAGCCATTCCACTCTGACATACCACATTACTGTAACACTGTGATAGACCACAAAGCAGCTGCTGATGACTGGCATCAAACATGAATACAGCAATTTTCACCCACATGAACGAAATATCTCCATAGCAACCAGGCTGTTCAATGGGCTATTTGAGACACACTCACATGTAATTTTCTTGTACCACGTGCCATAATGAAGTCTAATGTTTGCGTTGTAAGGAGGTCAAGATATTTAAGAGAAACATGTTTATTCAGATGCTGGTCTATGTTAAAAATGTACATGTATGAACCAAAACATTAAATGTGTGATATGAAGAAAGAACTTGTGAATGCTAACCTTAGTCACCCTGTTTTCTGCATCTCGTAGTCTCTGTTGTAGCCGATTATTCTGCTCTTTGTACTCACCAAGCCTTCTCTCCAGCTACAGGCAAATTGGCAGAGAAAAAGCCACATCAGCTCTTGGGCTTTGTAGAAGGTTTTGTGATATTCTTATAGGCATCATAACATTTATGTCGTCCCTGGGTTATCAGTTGATACAGGTTTTCTGGACCAGTCTGTATTTTATGGTATCTTACTGGCTTCTACTTGTATCCCGCAGGCTTCCATAGAATAATATGAATGCACTGTATGTGTGCCACTGCCAATTTAAACACGAGGACGATTTTTAATGTCTCACCTCTGCGTTTTTCTGTTGGCTGGATTCTAACAAGTCCCGCAGTTCATCGTTGTACTTCTTGTGTCTGCTGAGTTCAGACCTGTGAAAGGACATTGATGTTGATAACCTTACATGCAGAGACATGCATACAACAATACAGAAGCAAGTTGCAGTGGCTGTTTTAGGTCATGAAAATTGTACAAGAAATGGTGGATGTAAAAGCATGAATGACACAAGATAGAAATGTGGGTGGTAGGGCAGCTGTAAGAATGACAAAGAGTATGCACCCTTTTCTGGACAACTTGTCAGGGTCCATAAGTCATAGAAAGACTGTGACCTGCTATGTGCTATTGGGACTCATAAAGTTCTACCGGTAGGGAACATTCAGAACTTCAATGACATCATTGAACAAAATTCATTTCCTACCACTGTCCCAGGCCTGCAGTGACTCTACAGTAGCTCATTGCATGTTGAACATTCCCCAGTTTTCAGTATAAATGTTGCTTTAAAAATACATGTACATGGATATTCGTGGCTGCTCCCTATCAACCTACATGCATTTGCAACAAATGCTTCCAATACAATCATGTATGTTATAGGTCCCCTCTGTATACATTGCTTTCAGTGAAACTAGTTGTGAAATATGATGCATATATAAATTGAACAAATTTGACAGTGGATTTTCAAAGGTTTGGTACTTTTAGGCGTTGTGGGAAAGCTCATGAGTGTAGAGCTTTTGTTAAATAATGACAAGGAAAAAGGTCGGACTTTACATAACATAGCAACATTGCAAGTTAAAGGTTGCAATGGTACAAGCAACCCCTTCATCTAAGCATACAAAACAAATGTTACCTTTTACATCATCTACAAGCACAGATGTTACCTTAATTCTGAAAGCTTGCCCTCAAATTTTCTGGTAAGACTTTTGGATTCTTCTCTCCATCTGTGGAAAAGAGAAGGGAAAATGATGATTGGTTTAACATGATGGTGCCTTAATTTAGGACGTTCAGGTACAAATGACATCTATATCATCATAACTACAGCACACAACAAGCCAAGCTCTAGAATTAAATCATATATTAAATCTCTGTTCACAAGTAACTTGAAAAATATATCATTAGGGCATCTAACAGATCACTGCAAGCCCTGAATCAAGAATATTTAAGAGCCAAGTCAACTCCAAACTGAAGTGCAGATTTCTGAAATGGCAAAGGGGCCTACGTGCAAGTTAGGATCTCAACAAGCAGAAAAACAGGATGCCTGGTAGTTATGTAAGTAATGATGTAAGATGATGAGGTACTTGTTAGTGCAGGATAAAGGGAAAATGGTTATTACGGCCGGAGAAACTTATTGAAGTGTGTAGAAGCAAGTTGGAATCAAAATGTCTTTCTGAGGGTTTGGTAGCAAAGAGTACTTTATGCATGTATTCTTAGTTGAAAAATGAAAAGTGACATTATGAACAAAAATTGAGCTACTCTTCCACTGGTTGCAACAGAGAAGACAGACATGATGTACAAAATGTAATATACATGTCTAGTGTGCCAGGGAAATTCCCTTAGATCTTTTTGACAATAGACAGGTACACTGGACAACAGCTTAAAGTCCTGCCAACCATTTCCAGTAATGTGCACGTAGGGAAGGCAGAATAAATTGCCCAGTTCTGCCCAAATTACCCCATTAGGTTTTCTTCACTACTGGGTACTATTATCTGGTACAGTTGTAGCACAGGTCACAAGTCCTCCTGGGGCTAATATGCCTCCCTCCCCAAGATTAGTCTAGCAGGCTGGTCAGTGGGTCACGAGGAGTGTGATCTAGTCAGGTTAAGGTATTTTGCATTATTAAAAACTGAAAGATTTTACCAAGAACATTGGTTCTACATGTGCAAGTATTATTTTTAGATGCCTACTGAGATGTCTGAGAGGTTTGAAATGTAGCATTTCAGTAAGGGTAAATTACACTTACTGTGTAGGTAGAAACATGTCCTGACATTTAGATACTAGTACATGCATGAGAGGGGATAATTTCATACTCCTACATACTTGAACAGTAAGATGAGATGAGCATGAAGAGGGGAGTCTGTGACTAGTTAAAATGCCATGGCAATATTCATTATGGTTGAAAGGTACTTCTACAGTAAATATTATTTGCAAAAAGGACAGAGGCTAAGTGCTGTGCTTTGCAAGACATGTTTTTTTCTCAGGCATATGCATTGAGAATTAAAAGCTTTATGTTGATTTCATCAAAACAATTTTCTTGGTTTCATACTAATATGCAAAGTTAAACTTTAAAATCTTTGAACAGCAAATTCTTCATACGTTAGCTGAATCATCCTGATAAATGTAGATGACTTGGCCCAAAGACCTGCTGTTTTAGATTGATGATTGAGTTGCATTTGTTGTCCCAATCACCATGATCTGACCTATCACAAAAAATTCTGAACCTAAAGGTACAAAAATGTTGCTTCTCTTTTAACCTTTTCTTTCATCACAGTGAATCTTGTGAACTTGACATTCCACAATCCCCCGAATCATTAACCACAGTCAGCAACTTGTACATAGGGCTTACATGTTAAGATATTTTCCCTGTCAAACGTCATCACATGTACCAAGTGGGTAAGCCCGTATCCCCAATGCTCCTGAACTTGAACACTTTGAAAGGCATTTCTTCTCTCTTACAACAGACTCTGATGCAGAAAATAGAACTCTTTTGTACAATGAGTATGACTGCTCCATCTATCATCTTTCACAAAGTCAAACTTGAAAGGTTGTTGTTGCCAGAAGAAAAATGAAGCGAAATTTGATCTCTCAATCTGTGGTATAACAAGGATATTCCAGTACTTCGAATTCTTTACACATGTTGTAGATAGAGATATAAACACCCTGGAGGGCTGGCTGGTTGTCACAGATAACATTCTACACAAACTCCTGTACAGGAAGGGTATCAGGGCCGGTCTTAATGTATCATACACTCTGGGGAATAACTTTACTGATATAAGCCACCAGTTTGTCTGAATACTTCTGTTGAGTGAAAAATACAGCCATTGTTTCTAGAGATGTAGTTATACTATGTAGTTGTAACATTTATCACCTCTATCATGAAGGTTATATTAGACCAGCATTGTTTCTGTAAAGATCAGTATTTAAGTATGAATATGAATTGATTTCTACAAGGAGGTTCAAAAGAACTCCCTTGATTTCTTGAACCTCCTTAATTTGTAAGTGATGGAATTCTAGGAAAGATGTAGAAGCATTTTTATTTAAAAAAAAAGCAACCTGACAGTCTTGATTATTGGCTTAATGTTTTTGCAATCATGTTTGGCCTTGAAGACTTTTTAAAACCTATAGAAGAAGTATGCTAAAAGCTTCACACAGGTAAAACCATGAGATCAACATGCACTTAGCCTGGGCGCCATGCTTCTTATACTTAAGTCTACTCTGAATTCCCACCACTAAAAAGGTTTTGCCTTGACCCAGTAAAATTTTGACAAACACCTAAAAGCAGATGCTGAGAAATGCAATGCTTATATTATATACTAGTAGGTGCATGGCAGTCCAAATGCATTAGGAAAGAGCTGCACACACATGTACATGTACATCAACAATAGACATCAGCTACAAAATTCATGCCAGTTGGATGTCTAGACTGTAACTTGGTTCTGGAATTTTGTTTCTTAGAACATGAGTGATTGCCTTCCTGGAACCAATAGCTGATATGTCGTGGGCTAGTTACATAATTATCATTCGGACATTTAGTTACTAAGAAGGAATGTTGACCGTTTTGGCACATGGTACACATGTACTGGGGTAGTACATTTTCAGAGCCTGCTTTGAAGAAGGTTATGTCTTCATCATCTTCCATGTTTAAATTTCAGACTAAATGTCAGTCTAGCCACCTTTGCCACAGCATGCCCTCTCATGTATCTGTAAAGTGTCTTTGAAATAACACAGAGTAATCATGGAGCATGTTGAGTATACTGCCCTTTTTATTTTCCAGTGATTTTGCTTATGCAACAACATTAGAGGTACTAGTACATGACATTCTGTCTCAAGCATAGAGCTCAAAGATCTTGTAGACAACTCTCAGTGGATTACTTCTCACAAATGGCTTCTCAGACAGGAGTAATATCTTGATCCTTTTTGTGCCACAACTTTATTATCAGCTGAGCCTGCAGACACTGCACTTAACCATACTGACGCACATCAGGAAGACTCATAAATCATATTCTTGTAATCCTGTAAACTTCACCATGTTAATAGCCAATGATTGACATCCATTGAAATATGAGGAACAGATAGATACAAAAGTTTGATTCACTTTGAAGAGGACTTGTCTGTATTGGAGCTGTATGGTATACGTGATATTCATATTTCAGACAGAACCATGGTTAGGTACAGAACTGAATGGGAGACTGTTAGAATGTTGCACACTAGTGAACAAAATGATCTTGAATTTCAAATAGTAAAAGCAACTTATAATTAGGTTCAAGAATAAAAAAAGGCCAACTAAATACTAGTACATGTAAGCAAATTGTTGTGCTTGCTTCTAAAGAATTTTGTATCATGCAACATTTGACTTACACGTACATGTATACCCAAATCTACCAACTCTTCATTTATCATAATTTTTATGTAATAGGTCCAATGAAAGAGGAGAGAATGTCAGATAAAAGATGTGAGTGTACTTACTTGGCATTCATCTTCTGTTGTGCAGTAAGCAGTTTCCTGAGTTCAGACATGGAGTGTCGGTTGGCGTCTTCTGTTCCTTCTAACTTCACCAGAAACTCACGTTCTCTCTGCTTGTGTTCCTGTTCTAGCATTGCCACCTTTTGTAATAACATATGCAGAGTGTTGTTATTAAATCTTATTCAGTGTTAATGGTTTATTTTCCTTTTATCTTGGGTCTAAATGCTCAAGTAGGCATTGCCCAAAATCAGCTTGCAAGTACAAAATGTATAAGAGAAAGCAACTGAAATAACTGGAAAAAGACTTTCCATGAGAATCTCACATCTACTGACTATTCAGGGGAAATGAGACTTCCTGATACAAACAAACAAATAAACAAACACTGAGAAAATAAGTTGACTGTGTACAACTTGAGTCCACTGTCACTTAGTCTTTGTCCTTTCATTTTGTTGTATTGATGTCTTTTCTCAAACAAACAAACAAACAAACAAACATTACAAACGCACCTGTCTTGCTGCCTTCCTCTGTGCCTCCTCCCCCTGCCTCCTGCCGTTGTTGGCCTCCTGCCGCAGTTTGCTGATCTCCTCCTGCAGTTGTATCTTGTCCATGGTGAGGTCCTCGCAGTCCTGGCGCAGGGAGTCCACACGGCTGGTCGTCTGGGACAGGATGGCCTCATGCTGCTGTCTGTTCTGGTCCCTGCTACAAGATAGGTGGGAATAGATGGGTTAAAATGTGACGAAGCTTTCTGTATCAGTATAGCCCGTATAACTGCCCCTCGGCATAACACACCAGCTTCACAGGCACGCAGTGCTGCGGCAGCTGGCAATATTATACCGAACGACTTGTTATATACACCTAGCCTTTGCACATCTCAGCTATCTAGTGATGATGCCCCTACTGTACTTGAAGCAGCGAGTTCCTCTCAACGATAGTTCTAGGAGAAAATGACTATCAACAGTCAGTGCAGATCTCTGTTAAGTGAGAGTTTCTTGTAGGGAATTACATTTGCGCACTTAAAAAAAACACAACATAACTGCTGACTCACTCATCCTCCATTTTCTTGAGTTTCTTCTGCAGTGACCTGAGGTTCATGTCAGCCTCGTCTCTGGCTCTCTCAGCATTGAACAGCCTGTTTGTAAGCTCAGACGCATGTCCGCCCTCCCCCTCTCCTGACTTGTACACCTGTAACAGGAGCATATCATCATTATCATCATTATTATACAATACAGGGTGGTCAAAGATTCAGATACAGGTACAGATTTAATGCTGACAAAAATAGTCTTCTCTGTAAATAGGGTATAAGGTTACAGTTTTAGGATATGGTGGTTTTCTTTACTTATTTTTGGAGGTAAAAATTTTCAATGATAGTACATTTTAAAAGAATACCAACATTTTTTGAATACAAAAAGTGCTAAATAAACACATCTTTGGAAAGTGTAAGTAGTATACTGTGCCCAAATAGATCACCTTTTCCAGCTCCCCCTCTACTGCCCTTTTCTCCCTAATGGCGCGGTCCACCTGTGCCTGTTTCTGCCCAACCTCCATCTCCAGTCCATGGATTTCCTCCATCAGTTTCTCCAAGTTCTTATTGCACTGTTCTCTCACACTGTCCACCTGCAATTCACAACAGTTCTTATTGCACTGTTCTCTCACACTGTCCACCTGCAATTCACAACAGTTCTTATTGCACTGTTCTCGCACAGGTGCTTATGTGACATTAAGATTGCTCATCTGATCTTAACTTGCAAAGCTGGTGTGTTACACTGAAGGGTTGTCATAGCGACTATACCAATACAGAGTTTGTGCCTAAAAGTATAAAGAAAAAAAGGCAGTCTAACCTCCTTCCTGGTCCTTGCCCCAGCTTCATTCAGTAGTTTTGCCAGCATGGCCTGAAGTCTCTGGATCTCCTGTGCATTCTGCTTCTCACGGACAATGGCCTGGTAGATTTTCACAATCATGAATGGACAGCAACAAAGCAGGAACAATGTGACATTTACACAGATGTCACAACTAAAAAATATGAGGAAAACCGTGAATATAAATATTATATATAAATATATTATTTGTTTTAAAACTTAAGACATGGATATGATGTGCCATACCTGGTCCCTCTCCAACAGTGCATTCTCCACCATCTGGACACTGTCTCGCACCTTCTCCGTCACCTCAAACTCACGCTCCTCCAGGTCCGAGTTCTTGGACAGGAGAGAAGACACTCTGTCCTCAAGTTTCTTCTTCTCCTTCTGGAGACCATCAATTTCCCTGATGGCATCCGCAATTCTAGATACAGTGGAAACAGAAATTATGAGCAAGACGAGACGATTTTATGTGTTTAAAAGCAAATGCACTGCACTGCCACTGTACATGTATTTTTCTACCCATCAATTCCAAACACACGTGTATATATGTAAGGGTGGATGTGTGCACATGTATGCACATGCACATGCATGTATTTGTATCTACTGTACATATACTATTAGCCAGTACAATGTATAACTACCCTTCAGCAGAACACATCAGCTTTTGCAGGCATGCTGCACAGCAGCAGCTGGTTATATTCCACTGAACAACCTGTTACACCTACCCTTTGCATATCTTAAGCATTGTTTAAATCTATCTAGTGATGATGCCCTTACTGTACACTACTGGTACTTAGTGACAGCAAGTTCCCCTCTACAATTGTGCATGTATGTACTGTTATGAGATCTATGAGAACAACATTACTTCATCTCCAGGTCCATGGCAACAGTCTGCACCTCCTTCAGCCTGCTCCCTGCTGCCTCCTCCCTGCCCAGGGCCTCACTGTTCTCCTGCTCCTGAAGACATCAACATCAGTGAGTGGGTGAACATTTCAACATGTTTCCTACAGATTTTCTCTATGTTGGGAAGGTAAATCTTTCCACTTTTTCTTAACTTCCTCTATAAAGACAGTTGGTATTAACGGTGCATATATGAAAACTGGCAGTTATTTTATATTGATGCCAAAATGCCAAATTGTCTTTAGTTATTCCTTATTATTCTACAGCAACAAGCTGCATTGTGCTATCAATACCAATGAAACACAGATTACATGGAAATTAAAGAGCTTTAAACAATGCTTTGTCTACAGTAACAGAGTCTACAGAGTCTATATATAGAATGAATTGTTATTCACTTCTGCACTCAGTACATACCACACCCTATAATACACTCCCTTCTGGAGATTGATTTTCTACTATTCATCGATAACAAAGAAGGCCTCAGCAGAATGTGCTGCTATTATTGATAACAACAACATCATTACTCCCTTTCAATGGTTCATCTACATAAAGAAGTACAATGTTGTGGATTAAAGCAATACTATTCAAATAATGCACTATACCTGGGTTGGTGACAAAAAACAGCAAAATCAATGATTGAAAAATCAAGGAAATACGGTCTGCAATGTATCCTAGTGTTAGCATACAATGAATAAATGGATGGAACAAGACAGATGCTTTATGCATAGAAGAATAGGTGAACCGTTACATGGAAATAGCCTGGGGCAAAAATCATAAAAATGTGCAATAATGTGCACTGCTTAGTAGTACTTTACACTGCCTACTGCAATTTTAGTCTGCCAGCATCTAATCTGCAATATTTTAAAATGATTTAGCATTAGGTCCGTAAATATACAAATTGTCAAGTTCAGAAACAATATACAAACCTGTTTTACAATGCTTCACATAACTGGCAATTCCCATAATACTACATACTACGCAAAGGGGAAAATTTGCATTCACTCCTACATGTACCTGTCCCCTATCCCATTTCACAATGACTGCACTAAACAAAGGCATGTGAAAAACCCTGGGGCTTCCATGTCACATCTCATATGCATGATTACCAGCTAGACTGACAGTTAACATTCACAGAGGCCCAGTGTGTACCCTGAACAACAATGGAAGCTGACAGTCTGCTATATCCATCATCCATTATCACTGGACGACACCAATAAGAACATTTATGTGTGAATGCATTTGGTACAATAGAGGCAGACTTCAGACATATGGCAGGCCTTAGATTGTGTCACCGGTATTACAGGATCTATGAAGAGAGGAAGAGCCTGTATTTTATCTTCATTAGGTGTATGTTGCTATTTATGACTGTAGATTCTGTAAAATTGCTTTACAGTTAGGCTATCCCAAGAAATCTAGAGATGCTGTAGCTAGAGGGGATGAATTTAACCCAAATCACCTAAAATTGACCAGATGGTGCAGGGATTATAAGACGGTGGTAAAATTATCGGTGTAGGGGACTGAGGCCAGTGTATAGATAATGATAGAGGAACACCCTTCTGATACAAGATCCACAACTGGGCTGACAACAGGGAGAAATATTGTGCATGACCCTATCCTACTGCACTTAACTCACTGGGGATCCGATGGTGTTAATGGATTGTGCTTCAGAGGTGTGTCGTGCGCTTGCTAAGAATGAAAGCAGAGCTTTTTAATTTTCTAGTTATAAAAATAACTGTGCTCAACATTTACCACCCACTGTGGTGTGAATGAGGATTATAACCATATCTCTCCCAATATATGCAAGGTATTCATGGTATTATATTAGATACTTAAAGAGCACCAATTACATATTTTGAGCTTTCATGTTAAAGTGTATTCACTACTCCTATGCATTGTAGTGAGTGACAACCAATTAGTGAGCATGCTATATATACATAGTACCCAAGGTGAGTGAACGCTCCCCACTGAATGATTACATCCGTATCCAGCATGGTTATTGTGTTTATCAGCACATTTAGAATCGTGCACATTGAGTGGGAATCACGAAACACTTTGGTGTACAATGGAAGTTGTTAGACTTATAAGGTTTTTTTTAGGAATACAAGACAAAGTTGTCCCCAGCAAAGTTATCCCCCTGGAGACAACTTTTATGCTGTGAATTTTGTTTCCTGAAAAGTAAAATATAAATGTCTTGTATCAGTGTCAAGCCCTAAGATATGATGAATATGAAACTAACCCTTCCTTTCAGCTGGTTATGCAGGTCCTCCAGAGTTTTGCGTGTCTCGGTGAGTTGGATGGCACTGGTGTGAGCTTCATGTTTGGCCTTCTTTAGCTCTTCTCTCAATCTGTCCATCTCAGTGTTTTGGCCATTAATGGTTGCAATATATTGCTGAGTTGCCTGTAAGATTGAAGTTTATAGTATTAACATAACAAAAATGATAAATAGATTTTCATGCATTATGAAGTTAATATATTACTGGAAACATAAATGAGTCTAAGAAGCATATTAAATTTTATTCACATTAATAACATTTACTAATGCTGGTGTTTCTGAATGATGCAGCAAGTTTTTGTTCTTTGCTAATACATGTATAGAGTACTGTATGTTAGAGTCTTAAAGAGGAATGGTATATCATTTATCCAATCAGATGTTAGCTTAAAAGTTATCTACCTGTTCTAGTCTCTGATTGGCTAGTTGTAGCTGTTGGCACTTCTGGTTCAGGATCCTAAGCTGTGCAGAGCTGGCCTGATGCTGTCCTGTCTTCAGCTGGAAATCCTGCAGCTGTTCCTTTTTCTCCTGCTGTACCCTGTCCAGCTCCCTCTGGGCTGACCGCCACAGGTCCATCGCATGGTCCTTTTCCTGTGGACACAATTGTCATGACTGAGGTGTTAGTTATCTGTACTGGTAATCACTGAAGGGAAAAGTATCACATGGACAAATCATAACATGACATTGTATCTGCAACATATCTTTTAACAAGTTCCAATATTTTTTTTAAATTTTTATTCTTAAAAAGGGCTGACATATATTTCATGGACAGAGACTGTTGTGTATCACTATGGAAACAAAGAATTTGAAAAAAGCCTTGAAGGTCCTGTGTGCCATACTACTAGTATCTGCTTTAATTTAATAAACATCATCATTTCTACCTGGTTTGCCAGCTGTAGCTGCTCTTGCAGGTTGTTGAGTGGGTCTCCCTCCTCGGGTGCAAAAGAGCCCCCTGCCTGAACCCTGGCTAACTCCAGCTGGGACTGCACATTCTGATGCAGTTCTTGCTGTAACCTACATGATTGTGTAAGGGATGAACAATCAAATTTATTTAAGTGTAGCATCTTTGTTGTAACCATCATGTACAAATAATTTGAGGACAAGGTTTGGTTGTGGCAAACACAAAATGTACTATACAAACATATGAAAATATTCTTCTTTGATGTATACTACAACCTTAAGTTAACAGACACATTTTCAGAAACTTGACGGACATTAGCAATAAAACACCAACCTCCTTTTCTCCCTGAGCAACTTTTCAACACTCCCGACTAGTCTTGTATGTTCTAACTCATATCTATAAAACAGCTGCCTCTCTCTCTGTGACTGTGGACTGTAACAAGTCATGGCCTACTCCAAATGTCATGTTATGTCATACTGCAGACTATTCAGGTTGTTGTGACCAATCTTCGAAATTTCATCCCAGATGTGTCATTTTGCAACCACTTATCAATGTCATTCATGAGGGGTGGGGGTGTATGACTCATTTGTAGACTCAGTCAAAGAACCTTCTATAGCCAGTACAGGGCATTTCCCAAACAGTAAATAATTTCTTCTAGATCTCTTTGTTGAATTATAAACCCTGTCTTTAACCATGTTTGCTGATGACAACGGATAGAAAATATGAGTTTTGCTGAAAACTATTCTGACATGCTTAGCTGTATTGTCTGCTACATTGAGTTTGTAGCCAAACAGTATACATGTAGATCTGTTGTACAGTATCAGACAGCTGTTGCAGACCTGTTGTTCTCTGTGACCAGCTGCTCCACCCTGTCCTTCAGCCTGGCCTGATCAGCCCGGCACTGCTGGAGCTGGTCCTTCTGTGTCTGCATCACATGGTCGTACTCAGCCAGCAGGGGGGACAGCAGGCTACGGTCAGTCAGCCACTGGGCAGGGGGGTCGTCTGGGGCAAAGAGACCCCCCTGAAAAATATTTACAAAGGTACATATATTATCACGTGGCTTCTCTGAAGTGTGATATCAACAAGTTGGATCAAGGGGATCTGGTACAGAACATGTATTATGATAAGCATTTTAAAATCCACCAAAAGATACTGAAGAATTTTCATTATAGATATTCATGACCAAAAAGTATTTGTTTGTTTGAACCATTCTTTATTCATACGAAGCTCAAATCGGCCTGCAGGCCACTTTCATTGAGGTCATGGAGGAAGAGGTGATACCTTGATGATACCTTGGAACTACAGTAATGTATGGGTAGTTCTTGGGATAAATTCAACTTGCATGTTTGAATTGTTTCCTACCTCCCCTGATCCCCCATGGACTGGCAGGTATCTATCCTGGTACTGACTGAGGACAGCATTCAGACGTTGCACTGCAGAACAGAAAAAGAAAACAATTGTAAAAACTGATATAGTGATATGGCTAGAAAAGTATGTGTTCAACTTCATATCTGTTACCTATTGTTTTGCTGACCTCAAGAAATAAAAATATTGATGCATAGACTGTAAGCTCTAAACATTGCGGGCACTAAACAATAAATGACATGAAGTAGAAGTATTGCTGGTATATGCAAGGGCATTACATAGAGTGTCCTAGGTGTCTAGTGAATGATATCGTTCATCATCATCAAGTGTGTTGTCTATCAGTCACTATGTTATTACCTGTAGGTTTAACTTATAATTTCAAGAGAGGTTTTTGTCATTGATTCACTATATTGATAGATGTCAGTCCAAAGTAAACAAATATGATTGTCTAGATTACGGACTTTGAACAGTATTGACTGAATTGCTGTACATGTACGATGTATATATCTATATTATACATTTGTACAATTATATTACATATTCTAACGCTTTCTTTGAATACGTTTACATGACTTCAGGCCATCCAAGGACAACCATACAATGAATAATTCATAAGTCGGTCATGATTTGATTCTGAACAAGTTGAACAACAACAACCGTAGCTAGTAAACAACACCATTCTGGTTTATCAACGAATGATTACCAACTTGTGTTGTTTCTAACTTGTCTATGGTCAGGTAAAACGTACAATATGTTGTATTTTGTTTGTATTTGTTTGTAAAGATGGTTTGCTTGACCCCCCAACCCCCCTCCCATAAATTTGGACCCATACAGATCAAGCATATCGAAGCTTTCTTAAAGAAACCTTGAGCAGATATTCACACTTACCTTGCTCCCGAAGGAAGTTTACTTCATCCGACGACATTCTAACTTGTTGAAGTCCACATCAAAGGCATAAAATCTGTCAATATTCACCGATTCAGTTCAAATTCGCGCTCTTTCTTTCCAAAGTCGGCCATCTTGGGTCACCTGTACGGCCTGGACAATTTTGACCAATGAGAGCGCTCCGTTTCATGACCCTGGGATCGAGTTTTTCTTCTCTCGTCCGCAGGGTACTCTCCCCTGACCTCGGGCATGTGGTCGTCTGTCTCCTGACCAACATTTTTTTCTCTCGATGACAACTTTAGTTTCTCGTCATTAGAACCGTTATATAGGATTTATCACACACTTATAAGGACTAGAGAGTTATACAAGACCTGAGGAAGACCCAGACAGGAGCTGTGAGGAGTTTGCGAGGATGTTTCGAGTAGCTGGGTCCGTCACCGCCTCCCGACTTTCTGCAGTGTGCTGCAGGACGGTGACCGCCAAGCAGTTCCAAGTTCACGGTCAGGCCTTCAGCCTTGTCACTGTTTATATAATCAATCTTATAAACATGACAATCATGCTAACCCCATGACATTGATGTAAATTGATGCACTTGAGGATGATTCCGTAATGGATTCTGTCCGCCATTGTTGGGGGGAGGGGGGCATGCAGGATTTTGCGGAACAAATGCAACGACCTTGGATTCGTTAGATATAATTATCGACACCTGATAATTGCAATGAACTCGATATCATAATAGATAAATAGATAAATACATAAAACATATGCATACATACATAAGACTGTGTGGATCATATACATGTACGACAGATTATGTAATGTGTATTGTGAGTGTACGTGTATGGATTTATATGGAGGAAGCAAAATACACAAAATTGAGAGGTGAAGGTAACGTACAAGAATGAAGCTCAGTTTAATGTGTAAACCATACGATTATAATTTGATTGATGCCTGTCACATGGCATGTTGGAAGGAGGTGTGGCAATTTCACCTTCACATGACCTTTGACCTCAAACACCTGTCTGGTGGTATCTCATCACAGTCGAACCGCAGGTCACCGTAGAACGCGTTATTCTCTAAGATACGGCGTTTGCCGGGTCACGATTTGACCCCGTTGCATGGGTGTAAACAACTGCCTATAGTGCAGCAAAAAGACCTCAGACCTACACAATGTTTACATTTTTTCATATCTACAGGATTTGCCCAGTACAACCATGTAGATATTTCGTGCATTGCAAAATGACAGCGAGCGCTACGGCCTTCCAAAAATTAGCAATTTTTGGTCATTTTATTTGTGCTTGTCTTTTTTACTATTTAACTGGATCCCGTTAGCTAATACCACAGTGTGATAGCCCACTTCTTTACCTTTACATTGATACCAATGACCCCTGGTAAATTTTATGGCAAACGGGTTTGCCCCCAAAAAAACTGTGACGATGCGCATATCGCGGTGGTCAAATTTAGCCAAGTTGTAAGCTACTGACACACACCATCCTGAGTTTCCGCTACATTTTGATACATTTCGCGTAATGTCATAAAATTCGTTTCTTGGTATGAGAAACTGTTTGAATGTGGCTACCACGTGCAATGTAATACGTGATATGATAACATTCAATTATATACAAAAAGAGGAATTTAATACAAGGTTCTGACCATTCAAAAATCGTCAAATTTGAAGTCAATCGGTTTCGAACTCCTGCGTTCGATCCATGGAACCAAGGCAGCGCGTTCCATTTTTCGCGCCGCCAACAATGTTGCAACTTTCAACCGCTGTTTGCGAAAGTTCATGAAAAGAAGGAATCAAGTTTTATCATCACAAACAGACTTTCTGAAACCCATTCCAAGTAAGACTTATATCATGAAGACGCTAGAGAAAGTGGGATTCTTGTGCAACTATACGAATGTCAGTACATATGCCCGATGTTTGTATATTTACAGTAACAGGTCATAGTGTCCGATTTCTCCTTCAAAAATTAGGTCATGAAAAATCAACCTGTTGTTGTATTTGTTCATGCCCAAATTCCTTCTCTTCTGTTTTCATCCGTAAAGTGGGTATCGTTTTGAAGCTTACTATTTGGTCGATATTCTTTCACTTTCATTTTTGTTCTATATAACTTTTAACAGAACATTTTTGAAGACAAAGAAACTGTAAAAAAATTACACTTTTTCTCAAGGTCGAGCTGCAATACACATTGTGCAACTTCAAAACTAAGTACACAGGTGTCAAGCCAACATAACTATATTTCAGCCATATCTGACATCACAGGTGTATTGGTTAGAACTAGTTGCAAAAGCTTGCGATTCGAACAAAAATCGTTGAGAATTCGACTAAATGAGCCCAACATACTATCGGTTATTAAATTGTAACAACTACAGGATCCCAAAAGAAACAACACACGATAGATGAGGGAGGGTCTATACTTTATTAAACAATACACCAAATCGACGATGAAATAGGGCAAACGGGTTTGCCCCCAAAAAAACTAAAGGGTACCTATCTCGAGTGGAATCATCTCCATCATACACGGTCAACTTTGAAACCTCGTTTCTCCAACAAACACCACCGGTAATGTACATCTACGACTTTGAGCGTGACGCCGGCCCTTCTTACATCTCACATTAAAGTATGACAAGGAAACACTTACGCAAAGCGGAGTTACAAACGAAACAGTAAACAGTAGCAAACTCTCGCGGATTCTCGCGGATCACATTACCTTGGAAAAGAAGCGCGAGATTTAAACGAGATCTTAGAGAGAGCTGCGCAGAACCGATGCGCATAGCGGTCTGCGGTTCGACTGATCACAGGTATTCCACCAGTTATGAAATCATTATAAGTTTTATAGTACTAGTGTGTCTATGCCTTCATATTTCCAATTGTTGAAGAAAGAAACTTGTACAAATGTACTAGAGTTTGTAAATTGTAGTTCTAAAAAAATGTCTCTCTGTAGTTGTATCTTATATAATAATAGAAAATATTTTTCACAGGTGCCAGTCTACATGTCTTGTCGTCAGAAACGTCCAGAAAGTCCAGAAATGGCCCTGCTCACCACAGGATCCCTCCCTCATGGCAGAGTGTGCGGACTATGGCATCCGCAGGAGATTCCCAGGCCAAGATTAACTATATCTTTTATGGGCTAGCTGTGTTATTTGGTGGTGGAGGCATCATTTATGTGAGTATCTAGTGATCGACGTGTATGTTGTAATTTAATACTTTAACTACTTTTTAGTGGATTAAAACAATGATACTAATGATATGTGAATATTTGTGTTTAATGTTTGTTTCTGTGAATAAAATAGTACATATAGCTATGTTGAATGAAAGTTTTATAGTATTCGTCTTGATAAAAATATCCAACCCAGTGTCATATGGTGTCTGTCTATCTTCTGTGGTCACTGCCTTTCCCTTTCCTGATTCCATACCATGTATGTTGTCCAACTTTTGACACCCTTTCCTACTAGTACCTAATCAACAGGACAGAGAATACAAATGTACTTAGCATATTTAATGGTTCATGAATTATCAGTTATCACGTATATCTATGTGGGTGCTTAACATAGTGTTTGGCAGTCACTAACCCCAAAGGGACTTGATTTTTAACCTTCTTGCTAACCATTACCCTTCCTGTCTTTCCCAGTAGTGTTCCCTAATCAATCTCGCTTTCTTTTCTTGCATGTTCACCCCAGTGGTGGTCACGGAAGGTGAGGTAGTCCCTTAGTACAGCTACCGGCTCATGACTCCTTGCTATATTACCTTAGACCTCAGTCCATCCCATGCCTTCATTCTAAATCTTGTACCACAGTAATTCTGAAGTATATCAGAGGGGACTGTCTTCTGTTTGTAGATTGTCCGACAATATCTTGTAATATAAATTGCATATACATGTACATCTGTACTTTATGATGATGCACCCTGAACCTTTAATGTTTCTCCAAATAAGATTTCTTTTCAGCTTTCTTCTTAATAAAGACTGTTCTGTGCTAACTTCTATATGCCACATAGCTGTGTGCTGTGTTGTGTTGTGCTGTGTTATCATGTTTTGTTAGGTTTTTGCAATTTCAAGTCTCTCCCAGGTATCACTACCTATAATAGCAGCCCAAGTAGAAATTAAGAGAGGGAAATTTCTGTTTTGCAGTATATGCGGGAAACATCCAAAGATGGGAATAAGACAAAGAAATCTACAGCTGCTGTGCCTGCTGAGAGTAAGGAAGCCACAGAGCCTGTTTCTGAGAAGCCCACATCAGAAACTACTAAATCAGGTGTGTAAAACAAACTTGTATAACTGTATGTAAACTGAATTGTCTACTGTATCAGTGTTTGTTGAAGATAGCCTATATTCTATATTAGCTGATTAGCTGATAGGTGAACTATATCATACAGGCTTTAATTGATATGTGTCCATTAAGGTAAGATGCATTGATCAAGCATGAAGTTAATGAAGACACATATACTTGCATATTATGATATTTGGAATAAGAAATGTTATTCCCTCAACTTCTGCAAAGACAAATGCTTGTCTTTTTGATCATCTACTAAATGTAGTTTTATTTGTTTTCAACTCTCCACCTATCCAGTGTTTTGAGCAGACAGATGTAGGATCAACAGTCTATGTCTGTTTGATATTTCTTGTATACACCAAGGATATTATCCTGTACAATGTCCTTGTATACATGTAGAATCATGTCGTTATAGTGAAACTCATGGTAGTCCACCCATGGTAGTCCATGTTTTTCCTTAAACAAGCTGCCTTGGCTGCTGGTATGCCAATAGCTATCTGCCAGGCAGCTGAGCAATCCGCGGGATTTGTAAGCCAATATTCAGACGATCATTCTCTTATGGATTTGGCAGGTATAACTTATGCCCCCCTTCCCTTACAGAATATCGCTTTAAGCATTTTCTTTGGATATCATGAAACCTCTCCTACTGTCTTCATAACCTCAGTCCTGTCAAGGAATTTGCAAACTAAACTTTCCTGTTCCATGTCTTCCAGTCAAACTATTATTGAAAAACCTAGTTGTTGTTTTACATTGTTGTAGGTTGTTTGAACACACTTTGCTGGAACAAAGACTCTAGCCTCTTCTCCGTTATTGCATGAACTTGTTACTTTCAGTATATGCATTTGCAAGGCACTGTTTTACACCATTTTCTGTGCCAGACTCTTGCTGCTTCACTAGTACTCTCAGTTTTTAAGTTGTACTTTGCTTTTGCAAGTAGAAGCTCCACCTGCCGAGCTGCCACCTACAGAAACACCTGCTGAAGCAGCAGCACCTGATGCTGAAAGTGAGTCATGGATGGAGACAATAACCTGCATCATCTTACCCTCCCCTCAACTCTGGCTGTAGTCAGCAGTAGATATGTTACTATGGTTAGGTAGCTTGCATGCCTGCCTATTGGATAGGCCACAGCAAAGCCACATTGCACTATCAGGACTGGTATTGAAAAGTCATTATGCTTCATCTCAAGCAATATGCTTTGAGTTTGACTGTGTCACATTTGTTAGTAACTTACCTTTACTTATTGGCTGATACTAATGCCCAGAATAGTTGCTGAGATCCCTTTAAACATTCTTGCTCAGATTCAAAACGGTTTTAAGGTATGACAGGAGTGTATCTTAAACATTGCTCTGTGGTGGTAGCGGTAGTTATTAACCACATGCATCTTTTAGCCTTGTTGTAGGGTGCAAGAAACTGATGGTTATACCAGATACTCATGCCACTGCTTTTCTTACCCTTTGCAGGATAATAACAAGGAAATGGGAATGAAAGGTCAATGCATGCTGACACTAACCCTTTAATAACAGTTTTATAACATTGGAATAAAGGTGGTACCATGTGTGTTGTTTGTGTCCAGGCAAGAAACTGTTGGACGCCATGCCTCAGTCCTACCCTGACTACGAGGTCATGCCTGATATCCCGGGCCACGCCAAGTACCTGCTGATCGGAGGGGGGACAGCATCGTTTGCTGCTTTCAGAGCGATCAGGGCGAGCGATGCCAAGGCTCAGGTAAAACTGTTTACAGTGACATTCCATGTAAAAATATTGTAACACTGCTGTCTCCCTAACAAAACCAGAGATGCAGTCAGGAGAAAGGTCAAGATGCCATGTGACGTCATACGGTAAATGGCAGGGAAGTTCAGGTAGCAGAGGTATAGTGCTAATTAATAAAGAAAATTACCTCAGAAGGAAAGAAGAATTGAATTGGAATTTTGAGTGGTAAAAAAAGTACACACTAGCACTACATTGTACTCTTAACATACCTTTTAAACTCTTCATTTAAACCTTGTAGGTCCTCTCACTGTCAGATCATAGAGTACACGTGTAGCTCCTGCTTATTTCACCTGTCAACCATGCAATTCCTTAGTAGGGGAATGACCTCCCCTACCCATCGAGTGATGTCAACTTGCATGGTGAGAGGTTTCCTCAATAAAACAACCTCCTAACCTGTCCATCATGTTGCCAGGTCCTTGTGGTGACAGAAGAGGAGGAGCTCCCCTACATGAGGCCACCCCTGTCCAAGGAGCTGTGGTACAGCGATGAACCCAAACTGGTCGAGAAACTCAAGTTCAAACAGTGGAATGGCAAGGAAAGAAGGTCGGGCCAGTACAAATACAAATTTAAAAAAAACAACCTGTTGATTTGTTTGTTTGAACTGATTCTTCATTAATGAGAAGCTCAAATTGGCCTGCGGGCCACTTTTCATTGAGGTCACAGGCGATTGTTTTATGATGTACATATCTTTGTTTGATCACCATTTCCTGACTGTTACGTTTTGCAGTGTCTACTATAACCCACCATCCTTCTATGTGGAGCCTAAAGAGTTGGCGTACCAGGAAAATGGAGGAGTGGCTGTTGTCAAAGGAAGAAAGGTTAGGCCTTGCACCCTCATGTTGTTTACTCAAGCATTAGGTCAACATTGGTGGATCTTTCATATTGTGTTGGGCCAAGAGTTCATTTTTGAATCATCTTATCTACCATGCTAAGATACGAATATGTAGATTAAATCCTAACTTTTACTTTACCACAGGTGATGAAGCTGGACCCACAGAAGCAGGTTGCAGTGCTGGATAATGGGTGGGAAATCTTCTATGACAAAGTTCTCATTGCCACGGGCGGCAGACCTCGGAACATCCCCGTGTTCGAGAGGGCGTCACAGGAAGTCAAGGACAGAGTCACTCTCTTCAGAGGAGTAAGTGTCTGACTTGAGGATTTTTTCCATTTTGGATATCAGTTTTGTATTTCCTACAAAACTAATGAGCAGACGACTATGACATTATTGTTAAAAAGAAACATCATATGACTTCTATCTGTGAATAGTTTCATCAGGTTGGTAAGTCAACTGAATAAGAGATTTTTTACACAATCATGTGTTTTATTCAGCTGATGTGCCCTGAGGTCTGTTACCTGTTACAGATCTAGATGGTCACCAAAACGTTGGTGGAATAAAACACGTAATTTTGTGTAAAAAAGAGTGTCTCTATTCACAAACATCATACAAGTAATTACAACATCAACATTTCCATACATCAAGAAATAATTATTCAACGATTTTTCTGCATTTTTCTTACAAGATCAAGGATTTTAAGAGACTGGACGAGGTGTCGAGAAATGCGAGCACCATCGTGGTGGTGGGAGGGGGGTTCCTGGGCAGTGAGCTGACTTGTGCACTGGGGAAGAGGAGTAGGGACTCCAGTCTCAAGGTCATCCAGATGTTCCCAGAGCCAGGTGAGTCATGTCATTACTTAACCTATATATTTAACTTGATAATAAATTGAAATAGAAATCTAACAGTATTCAATCTAGTCTTTCTTTGAAGTAAATGGTAAGACATAAAGATTATCAAAAAAGATAGCTTAAAGATAAACAAAAAGAGGTGTTTGATTCTTGGTATGTTTTTGTTGTAGGGAATATGGGAAAAGTTCTCCCTGAGTACCTGAGTCAATGGACAACAGCTAAAGTTCGGGGAGGTGAGATCTATACATTGTATATTTTGTATGTAGGGTAGAAAATGCATGTCTGGGCTGGTTTATAGTGCCATATATCCAAGCTGAAATTAATTCTTCCACCAGGAATACATGGAATTTCTGAATTGTTAGGCACCAGCTAGTTCATTTTTGTTGTAATTATGTCATGTTACAGAGGGAGCTACTGTGAAACCAGAAACATTTGTGAAGAGAGCCAGGTTTAGTGATGGCAAGGTCATCCTCAAACTCAACACTGGAGAAGAGGTAACTTTGTTTTACATCTTATAAATCAAAGCAAAACAAGACTATATATAATATCTCCTAAAAATGAAGAAGTGTGAGTAGTGTTTTATGTCTATGTTTGTGTCTGTACTGTTTAAATGAATGAGAATCAACATCCACCTTGCTCACTGTAGTCTTTTACACTAAAAATATATTTCCTGTTCAGATCTCTACAGACCATGTAGTGGTGGCTGTGGGCCTGGAGCCTAACACAGAACTGGCCAAGGAGTCAGGACTGGAAGTAGACGACACGTATGGAGGATTCAGGGTCAATGCTGAACTAGAGGCCAGATCTGACATCTGGGTGGTAAGATATTGTTCTGATTCTACTCCTTAAACTGATTCCTGTCTTATGTAATTTTCTTAAGAACCCAAAGAGATAACATCCGTGAATCAGGTTTGTCAGTGAACCAATTCACTGAATAAAGAGACTCCTTTCCCACAACCAAGTATTTTATTCAGCCAATGTTTCGGTGACTGCCTGTCACCTTCCTCGGGGCATTTCTGACTGGTTGACATCACACTCTGTAACTGTGTAAATATGTTGCATTTGGAAATGCATCTATAGCAGCAACACCTGTGCTGTGCAATGTGACAGACGGTCACTGAAACGTCAGCTTAATAAAACACTTGCCATGGTCTCGCAAAAGAGTCTCTTTATTCTCAAAGAGATAACTGTCAGATGTCAAAATTGCTGTTTCTTGCACTCAGAATGTTTTTAGCAACACATATTGCACTTATAGTGTTTCCTTTTTGTGTTCAGGCTGGTGATGCCTCCTCATTCTACGACATCAAGCTGGGTCGGCGGAGGGTTGAGCACCACGATCACGCCGTGGTCAGCGGCAGACTGGCCGGGGAAAACATGACTGGCGCCAGGAAACCTTACTGGCATCAGTCCATGTTCTGGTGAGAGAACCTACAGCCCAACATAGTCACAACAATTGTGATCCTGCTCCCTGAAATGTTCAACTTGAGTATACGTAAAAATTCTACCATTTGTAGCTTTGGAACAATGACAGCTCTGAGACAGAATTTGACAGGTTTCAACTTTATTTGTCTCTCGCAAGAATGACAGAAATAGGACACTCCTTCCTTTATACTTTTCTGTGCCTACCTACTGCAGGGCGCTAGAAAAATTCTGGTAATCTTTCTTAGGATAGGTTTAGTTTTAATTTGAATGAAAAGATGTGGGTGTTTTTAGATATAACAGGTGTTAGATCTCTGTTGTTTGGTAGAATCCAGGTGACTCCTCTTTACTTGGTCATCTTTGTTTTGTAAATCAAGATGATAACAGAAAATGTTTGTCCCATGTTTTTTTTCCTACAGGTCTGACCTAGGACCAGATGTGGGGTATGAGGCCATTGGTATTGTGGACTCCTCCCTGCCGACTGTAGCCGTCTTTGCCAAGGCGACAGAGAAGGACACTCCTAAGGCAGTCGTGGAGGAGACAGGAGAGAGCCTGAGATCTGTCACAGAGACTGAAGCTGTAAGTAGAGTCAGCACTGTAAATAGTGCAAGTCTGGACATATGTACAGGTGCACTTGAGTTTTGTGTGACAAAGGTTTTATTTGTGCCGTCTTCAGTTTAACAGAAAACTATGTATATCCAAAGCTTTGGATCATCATTTTTCCTGCTTATGCATAAGAAATGAAGCATAAAAGAATGGGTTATGACAGTGACTATATTTCATTCCAACACAATCTTCTTTCCTGTCTACTGTAATTTAAGTAATACATGTACTGCCTAAAGACTCTGTGGAAAAGAGCTCTTAATATAAGTGTATATTCTAAATAATAACTGTCCATGGGTGGCTTTTTATGGGAGGGCAATCTTATTTCAAATGCTTTGCAAGTAACTAAGTCTGCATGCTGCAAACGATAAACCTTACTCCAATATTTGCTGCTTTTATATCCCACACAGTACACTTTCTTTTTTGTGATGTGTTTGTGTGTTTAGCTTTCTATCTTTGGTTCTGCCATGCAACAGGCTGGACCATCTACTGTACCTGATCTAGAGGTTATGGTACTGGCTTCGCCTTTGTGTCTTGTTTTCTTATTTTTGTCCCATTTCATGCTTTTCTAGATACATGTACCTGTATTATGTGTGCTGTATATGTTTTTTATATGATATACTTCTGTCTGTTATATGTCTGTAATTGTTTCTTCATTTGTAATTTATTTCAAACATTTTATAGTGAATGTAAGTGTTACCAGTATATGTTATATCACAAACATTTTGGATTTACATGCACTGTTTAATGCACACAGGAAGCCACACTGCCAACCAAAGAGGTGAGAAAGAATACGTTAATTGCTTCCTCCGCAGTTGGCCATCAGCATGGCCATGGGCATTATCTAACTTCTATGCAACAGCAGCGATACGTGTATCTGTTTGGCAGAAATAACTCATTCCTTTTTGCCCTGTGCTGCTAGGTGTCATGGATGCAGCTGGGTGCTTTAATTTCTTCTACTTTAAGCCCTTTCCATGTCCACATGTACATGTATGTAGTCTATCAGTATTCCATCCAAAGAAGTATCCTGCTACATGTATGACTGTGCTGTGTGCATTAATGGCCATGTCAACCCTTGTTAACCAGACAACTGCTGTACTATCATTCTGTCTTTTGTCAATCTTGTATACATTTATTTTCATTTTGCTCTATTATAGTTTTTATGGTTTTAAGGAGTTTAAAACGTTGATATTGTTTTACGGAAGATCTATTTTTGTTTTGTTTTTTGCTGTGCCTTTCTTTCCAGTCTCCACCCTCTGCTGAACCTGACAAAGTGCCGGCTGCTGAGGCTCAGTCAGAGCCGGCTCCAGCAGCTGATACACCTGTATCAGAGGCCAGGGCTGAGCCTGCTTCAGAAGCTCCCTCTGAGCCAGCTACGCCACCTGCCTCTGAGACTTCTGAGCCAGCTGCAGCACCTGTGTCAGATGCCTCTCAGTCTTCAGCTGCAGCACCTGCCTCTGAAGCTCCTTCTGAGCCAACTGAAATTCCTTCCTCTGAGCCAGCTGAAACACCTGCTTCTGAGCGAGTTACAGCACCTGCTTCTGAAACAGCTACTGCATCTGAGGCCCCTGCTGCAGAAGCACCCTCCAGCACAGGAGAGGTGGCAAAATAGCCCATTTTCTCTGCTTTCTTCATCTCAGTTGGCATATTGTGGCTTTATTGGATTTCATTTCATGATCATGATTTCTTTGTTAATGTGTTTTCTTTTGTTCTGCTTACCTTACTTGTTTTAGGAGACTGTGGCAGCCGTGTCTGGTGAAACAACAGCTCCCCCAGAAGTTGAGGTGCTCACATGTTCACAGAAATTCCCCCCCCCCCCCCTGCAGGCATAGTCCCTCCCCTTTCCCTGTGCCTCCCCCATCATGGTTCAAGTTCCCTGTGCTCCTTCAACGTCTTTGTAACAGCTAACCTTTTTTCCTAACCATCTTTGCCACTTGTATGATACATGTACATGTACATGTATTATTATCATTTACTACTTTCTTGTGTCAGCTACACATCTCTCCTAATAGTCTATTCCCAAGCAGGTGTAGGATCCGACTCAGTCTCCATGTCTAAGCATGATTTTGTGGCATCTAGTACTTTTGTTTAGTAGTACACCCTTTTATACTCATCACCTTCTATTCTGATTGTTGATGCCTCGTGGGGAATGCTAGACCGTTGTACTGTAACTCTTTTAGCTGCTATTTATATCAACTCATTTATGACAAGCTGTTTATTCACAGTGTCCTTTAAGCTTTATTTAGAATTGTAGGAATGTCAATGTGTGTGTGTATTACTATTACACAACCATATTAAGATATTATGATAGATTTTACCATCAATCTATCCATATGGTACTCATGAACACCCTACATATCTCTATTGCCTCACTCTGTGAACTGTCAAACTTCATTTCATCTTCCTGCTGTTTTATCTCCACAAAGTTTATTTCTTCTTTCCATTCACGAGTTGCACATTCCCAGGATCCTTTGCGCCCAGGGTAGGTCACGTGGGCGTCAGGGTAGGGAAAGGTCGCGGTAAACCACGTGACTCATCCTCGGCTCTGGTCGGAAGAAGTCGGAAGTGTTCGCGAGCGCTCGGAAATTTCAAAAATGGCTGACACCACTGCCGGCGGCGGGAGGCACGTAGTTTTTCACGGCGTTCGTACGGCAAAGCGGCATCGAATTTTTGCTCCATGACTATCGATATGGGATAGGATAGGGTTGATTCAACACACTACGTGAAAATGTGAATGCTCCCAGCCTATCGGCCAGATATCGCTTAGGGCACCTTCTTCCGACCAGAGCCGAGGATGAGTCACGTGGTTTACCGAGACCTTTCCCTACCCTGACGCCCACGTGACCTACCCTGGGCGCAAAGGATCCTGGGAATGTGCAACTCGTGAATCTTTGTATACCACATTCCTGTTCCAACCTGTCATCTGTCCAGATAAAAGACCCATCTGACCCGGCCTCTGCAACTGGAGTTGAGCCTTCAGCCTCTGAAAAGACTGAGGTGATTACAGAGATACCTGAACCAAGCATTGCAAAGCACCCTTCACTTCCTAACCTGCCCTCAAATAATTTGTCAGAAGACCCTCAGTCCAAAACATCTGTAGATGCTGCAGACATAGAAGAACCTGCCATTGGATTTTACTATGTACTCTCAAACCCAGAGGAATCCGAGGGTTACTTGCTGGAGGAAATAGAAACTGGGGTGTCATATGCCGTTGACACTTTGGCTTCAGTTTTGCCAAACACTTACCCAACATGTACAACACCTGACGGGTTTGTAGACTCACCTCAGTCTGATGATCATGAGGCAACCCCTGCTGCAGAGATAGAGAAACCCCAATCTGAGAAACAGGCTACCCAGGTGGCTGTAGAATAAGTGTAGTCTGTGTTGTCCAGGCTCAATGTGTAGTTTAACTATGCAGAAGTGACAACAGTGATAAGCATGTAGTTTGTATGTTGTACTGACTGTACTCTGTGTGTTTGCACCCACACCAGGGAGTGAGGGAAACAAAGGTCTTTGACCTTGCAAACTATCCGTTTGCACTCTTACCACATCCCGAGGTGATGACACTAGTGTTACACTCTATTCTGTGGTGTGCTCCACTCTCTCTCAGTACATGTACATGCACTTCGTTTTGTTAGCTACTTGTACAGATCCAAAAGTTGTTTGCTGGGAGTTTGGTTTGCTAGATGTATACAGTATACATGTACATGTGTTTCCCTTAAGAAATGTGTTCCTCTTTCCCACAATTGCCATACCCTACCCACTTTGCACGCAGTGTGTCATTAGCTGAAGCTATATCAAACTAGCACTTTATGTTTGTGACTCACGTACATGTATAGTTTCTATACACTGTAGCTTATCACTACTGCATTGCATGTTTCAGCCTACCATTTGTAGCTGTTTAGCTCTTTTCCATTAAGTAAGACTTAATCTTGGATCTCTACATTCCATAGATAATTTGTAACTATTTTGAAGGCACCTTCTGGTTACGTTTCTTTTGAAGGTTAGACATCCAGAAATATTTGAAGATATTAATGTATTATTAATCAAATTAATCTATATATCTGGATAGATTTTAGAAATTTAGACATTTCAGACACCATCCGGCTTCTTTCATCAATGAAATAAGTAGAAACTTTTTTTTAAATTATTTATTTAAACTGTTTATTTAGTTTCTATAGTATTTATTTCTAAAATTTTAATTTCTATAATGTCAGATGTATAGATTTGATTAAAGCATTATTGTAACTTCTGGTTGTTTTTACCATCTGGACAGAGTGCGACAGATGAAGAACCAGCCCCTGATGTGGAGGCAGCTGCCAAGCTTGTCGCTGAAGTGGAAACTGAGAACAGGGTCGCCCCCACACCCAAGGAGGATTATGGAAAGGGCGTGATCTTCTACCTGAGAGACGACATCATTGTTGGCATCGTGCTGTGGAACCTGTTCAACAGAATGCCCATCGCAAGAAAGGTGGGAGGGTTTACTTCCAGACCATTGTCAAGATTCTCATTTTCTTTGTACAGGATAAGAACTTGTAACAATTAAGAACGTTTTCTGTCATCAACCACAGAAGTACTTAACTCCTCTAAACCATACATTTTTATTTTTCATGGATACCAGTTTTATTTGATTCTTGAAGTGGTCACATCTTATCCTGATGAAGGCGACAGTGGTCGTTGAAAATTTGATCTCTATGTACCTATGTGTTGTTAAGTACCATACTACTGGGGTAAGAAACATTGGTGCTTAAGTATCTTATTCTGTTTCAGATTATCAAGGAGGGGAAGCAGCATCAGGACCTGGCAGAGGTCGCCAAACTGTTTGATCTTCATGCAGATGAAGATTGATGCAGGCCTAATGGATGATTTGCCGTCTATCTCTAACTTGGATGATTGTGTGTAGAAAGTATAACCTAAAGCATTCTGATTATATCATGAAACTACATGGGATAGAGAATTGCCAATGCATTCTCCAGACTGATGCACTCGTTTATGGTTATCTATAGAATCTGATGAAATGTAGATTCTACCATCATAAGAATTGAATGGAAGGAACAGCTGCTAATGTTGAGTCTGAAGCTACTGAATGGTGTGTGTTTGATTGTAAAATTGCTCATTACCAACCCCAGCTTTTTAAATACACGTTCCTAAAATCTTCACCGTTCATTCTTCTAAATCTTGATCCACAAAATTATGAGATGAAATTTGGTTAGGATTTCTTACCTGTACTTAAACCAGGACATTGTAATCAATTGTCTGACTAGATGTTTTTAGGCTGGTAAGTTACTAAGTAATGTAACAGTTTTCTTCACGTCTTACATGTACAGATTATCATTACAAAGGCAAAAAATAACCTCTTAAGAACACTGCTCTAGGGTAAGGAATAGGAAAGCTTGAGGCTTTGGTAAGGGTTGCAGACTTGTGAGTTGGGGTGAAAGTTATTTCTCCTTAGGGGAGAGCTAAATTG